ATCGACCCAATGGTTAGTTAGAGATGATACGCCTCACCGGGTTCAAGTTTGTGTGTGGTCTTCACCATTGTGGGATGGAGGCTTAAGGTTACTGTAAAAGCAGACATTTTGATGGTGTTTTATTTTCGGTAACTTCGGTGCCGAAATTTTTACCGAGAATAAAACTCATCGAAAATTTCGGTATAGTACTACTAGTACACTTACCTGGAAAACGGGTTTACGGAAAATTTCCCTCAATACCAAAAATATTACACCATCGAAAAATTTCTGCTTTTACAGTATCTGTAATATTGTGGGGTTGGGCTTTGGGTGATCTACACCGTTGTGAGGTTAGGCATGAGGTGATCTTCACCATTGTGAAGGTGTAAGCGTTCACGCTCACATGCAATGTCACCATTGCTGGCATGTTGCCTTGACGACTACAAAGGGAAATCCCCAGGGCTCCTACATTGGTATGATGTCTTTGAAAGCCTTTTCCCTGAACCAAGAGTACATAATCTCCCAGAGTGTGCAACTCGGATGGGGTTGTGGGACGGGGCAATCCGTGACGTACGTCATTTTTTGGGTCGGACTTGCGTCATCCCGTCGTCACGGTCCACCACGGACACACTTCCCCTACTCATGATGTCACACCATGACGTGCAACACGGATTTCGCCGTGCCAGATCTGATCAGCGAAGTTGCGCACTTTGGGGGATTATGGGCTCTTGTCGAAGCTTGTAATAGGTCATAGTCTGTGGGCACGTCTCAGTGTTCATTGCCTGCGTGATCGTTAAGCATGGTTAAAAGGAAGGTGGGCACTTTTGACGGCTGACGGCTTCCGACTTTGAAAACGTTTCTTGGGGACGTGATTCATCTTTTTGTACGGGTAACTTCGTGAAGCAGACAAGGCATTAAACCGAGATGGCGAATGTCTCAACGGTGTAATGCACCTGAATTGTGGAAAACTGCGCTCCTTAAAGATAGGAGTGTGAAGTAAACATAGATGTGAAACGAGCACGGTGCAGTTCTAAATGGATATTACGTCCTGGGATTATGGAATATGAGCCTGAAATCAAGTCTTCTGTCACTCTATCTGTATGTGTGTGTGTGTGTGCGTGTGTGTGTGTGTGTGTGTGTGTGTGTGTGTGTGTGTGTGTGCACGCACGTGCGTGTGCCCATGTGTGTGTTCGTGTCACCATACTGCAGGACCTGATTTCTCGTTTCGGCGCCGACACAATCCGTCTGTATATCCTTGGTGATGTAAGTTGAGTGTTCCTATTTCCCTAGCCCTTTTTGGATTCAGTGAAGTGCAGTATAACCTGTCAAGACAACCACTCTGATAAGGTGACCACCTGTCCTAGAGGACCACTACCACTAGGACCCAGGGGTGGTATTTCCAGTCGAATTAACCTGGATAAGGAGACCACCTGGTAACAGAGACCACCTGGTAACAGAGACCACCTGGTAACAGAAACCACCTGGTAACAGAGACCACGTTTGTAAGGTCCCTTAAGCGGTCGTCTTAGACAGGTTTCGCTCTACAGCGAAACTTGTCAAGACGACCACTCTGATAAGGCGACCACCTGTCCTAGAGGACCACTACAACCAGGACCAAGGGACGTTAATTCCAGTCGAATGACCCTGGATCAGGAGACCACCTATACACGGGGACCACGTTTGTCAGGTCCCTCCTTGAGCGGTCGGCTTTGACAGGTTTTACTGTAGTTCGACCTCCACCACATACTGTAAAAGCAAAAAAATCGGTGGTGTTTGATTTTCGTTAACTTCTGTGCCGAAATTTTTACCGAAAATAAAACGCACCAAAAATTTCGGTATAGTACTAGTACACTTACCTGGAAAACGGGTTTACCAAAAATTTCCCTCCACCGAACCGCCGATTTTGGAGAATACCGAAAATATTGCCCCACCGAAAATTTCTGCTTTTAAGTACGCTCTCTGGCCGACCTCATTCATACCGGCAACATGGCTCTGATTGGCCGTAGATACAAACAAATAACATTTCCTCCATTCGAGTACAGCGCTGTTTCGGCCAGTAAGATCTCATCAGTGAAGGTTAAGAGTGCTGAATGGCTAGAATTATTTTAGCAGCATTCCACTGAATACTGATACATATGCGCAGGAATGTTGGCGTCTTGTGTTCAAATTGTTCATGCTTTTTGCACCGTAGCCTAGGGACGCATCCAGACGGTGTGTTTGCGTGAGTGGGTTTCACAGAAGCACGATGGGAATCATGAGTGACATCCACCCATTCACGCCAGAGACTCAGTGAATCTTTATTTTTATTTTTACTATTGAATACAGTCCTACTGAGTGTGTGTGTGTGTGTGTGTGTGTGTGTGTGTGTGTGTGTGTGTATGTGTGTGTGTGCTCGAACGAGAACACTGCGTCTTCCAACATGGTGCGCCAGGAAGACCAGGCATCGTCTACTGTTTGCGCATTTCGGATCGTATCTAGGAGGGGCAGCTTCCACAAGTGGTCGTTAAGTTCTTGCCTGTCAGTATGGGCGAAGTCAAGCCGAGTGGATAGACACGGAGACGAGGATTGAGGGTTTGGCGTTGCTGGGAGCTTAGGGACAGCGAAATCGAAAACAACAGGACAGTGGTCAGACACGGGTGGGAGAATGGTGAGATGCGAGAGTTTAAACGAAACATTGGTTATAACTAAGTCAAGCAGAGAAGATGTATTGCCGCTAGGCGAATAGCGGGCTGCCTGCTGGTCTACAACTTGGGATAGGCCAAGGTTATCAAGGGTGTCAGACATGTATAAACCAGCAGGTGTGTCTGGATCGGGTGTCAGCCATCTGGATAGACAAGCGTTGAAATCACCCACAACTAATATGGAAGCCTGTGGACAAGGTATTGATAGGATACATGTACGGAATGAGTCACAGAACTGGGCTGGTGATTGCCAAGGTGGGCGGTAACAGCAAAACACGAAAGCGGGAGTAGGGCGATGATGGAGTTCAATGCATACTATTTCAATAGTCTGGTCACGAGGTTGAAGGTCCGGACGGTGTGTATGTGATATTGATGGATGTACAAGAAATGCCACTCCGCCGCCATGCCGTAGGTTGTCGCTGTGTCGGTCATTTCGTATGACAGCATGGTCAGCTGAAGGTGCAAGTAGGCAACTGGGAATATCAGCGGTGAGCCAGGTTTCAGTAACACCCAGTATGTCCAGTTGAGAGGTGGAGAACAGATTCTTAATTTCGTCAGACCTTTTGAGCCAGCTGCAAGTGTTAACTGTGCCGAGCCTAATATTAGGATGAATTGTAGAGTAGAGTGCTGGGGTTGGAGGATTTGGGGACGAAGGGGTGAACACAGGAGCATGCAGATTCAGGGGTTGTGAATACCGGTAGGTGGTGTGTGGCATTATACTTTAGCGGGTTTGGTGGCCCAGGCCTCTGTACCAAATCGCCACTCTCTTACAGTACGGCCAACTTCGTCAGGCCAGAACGATTCTTCCGCGACCTTCTTGGCGTCCGTGACCAAGACTGTAATACGAGCAGAGGCTGTTCTAAAGTGCACGGAGGTGTACACGACGCTTTGTACTACAGATACGCCTTGTGCCTTGCAGTGTTCAGCTATTGAATCCGCATCGCAGTCCGGGTCAACATTTCCAATGTAGTACACCGTCACGCGGGGTCATCCTACGAGTCCAGGTGCACTCTTGGGTGTTTTCGGTGCTGTGTACCGCGATGTCTCCTCCCTACGGTGGTTTGGCTTTTGCGGACGTTTGTCGTGGCCAAGTGCATGCGGCCTTGGTGGCTGCCTTGCGGAGTCTGCGTACGAATTTTCTACAATGTGCTGTGCAGCTGGGCCTTGTGTTTGTAGCGGTGCATGTGACAGGTCTGGGGTAGCGTCGGTACTCATACTAAAGTACATGGGGAGAGTACTACTTGTAGTAGTTCTGAGATGAGTTGTATCCGCAGGGTCAGCGTGGACGTGGGTCAAACGGGATTGGTAATCTTGTTCAGCATGCAGTTCACGTCGGAGCTTTTGCACGTCGTCCTTCAACGCCTGAATTTCCCTGTCGGAATCTCTCAGCTGTACATTCACATCTTTCATCGTCTTTAGCTCTGTTTTCAGTTCCCTTACTACCCCGGTAAGTTCGGAGAGTGCGGCGCAAAGGCTAGCTACATCAGGGTTAGCATGACTTACGGGAGCCGAGTCCTTGGATCCTCTCAGTAGGGCAATCAGCATTGGCCTGTTCACCGTTCTGGGGAACTCCAGTCCCAGTCGCTGGATGAGCTCCTTGAGCTCGTCGTCAGTAACCACGGCGGTGTCCGTTTGGGGTCGAGTTTCCCAGCCATTATATCACTATTTACTGGTGTTCCAAGGGCCTATTGCCCCGGGAAACCGAAAAAAGGAGTAAAGGTCAGGAGCTCGCAAATTTGCATCCACCCTGACAGGTAAAAAATTGTCATCCTGTGTGTGTGTGTGTGTGTGTGTGTGTGTGTGTGTGTGTGTGTGTGTGTGTGTGTGTGTGTGTGTGTATGTGCGTTCGTGCATGCGGTCGTGTGTGCGCATGTGCGTGTGTGCGCGTACGGCCGTTTGTTGTTTGTTGCAGTCTCCGAGCGCAAACAGCTTCAAGTGGCAAGAGGGAGGTAAGGATGTCCAGCTACGCACACCCTGGCATACCCTGGCACACCCCGGCACACCTTGGCACACCCTGGCTTACCCTGGCACACCCCGGCACACCTTGGCACACCTTGGCACACCCTGGCACACCCTGGCACACCCTGTCTTCTAACAGCTTAATGCCTTTACCTGTACTACAGTGTTATGCGTTTTGTTCTGGCTGAGTCAGTGACTGATGTTTGCCATATTTTCCGGAATATAAGCTGCACTTTTAAAAACACTTGTTATTCACTTAAAACAAGTCAGTGTGGCTTAGGGGCCATCCGCCATTATCGATAACTTTCACGGAAGGAACAAGTTTAGTCATGACCCTCCTCCCCCCCCCCCCCCCCCCCACACACACACACACACACACCCCCTAAACGAAAAGTATATTGACAGCTAGAATAGAGTGCTGTTTCAGCTGTCAATATTTTTTCATAACGAAACTCTCCTCGACCCACCCATCCATAAACGAGACTTTTTCATTTTGTGTAAAAGATTGCCAATCATGGACGGCCCCTAATACTGCAGTGAAACCTGTCTAAGACGACCGCTCAAGGGACCTTCACAAGGTGGTCTCTGTTACCAGGTGGTCTCCTTATCCAGGGTCATTTGACCGGAAATAGCATCCCTCGGTCCTGGTTTCAGTGGTCTTCTAGGACAGGCGGTCGCCTTATCCGAGTGGTCGCCTTATCCGAGTGGTCACCTTGACAGGTTTTACTGTACTTCGTACAATGACCAAATGAATGGTGATACACGGGGTGAATGTCTGTGTATTTTCATTTTGTGACAACAAAAAACCCTGGGTGCGGTGTTGTGATGATCAGGTCACAGGTGTATACTGTGTGGCCTGGTCTGGGCAGGTTAATGACGTCATCATGATGTCACCAAATTCAGTGCAAACTTCAAACATGTATAACTCGGGAACGGCTGCTCCGATCAACCTGGGATTTTCCCCATTGGAATCAGTGCAGTTTTTGCTACAGGGTGTGAAGTTTTCATTTTAGGGTTTTCAAAGGCTGCTCAATACATCAAAGTGCAGAGCGGTCCACTACACTGTTACTGGAAACGAGAGGCTGTCTCTGCATCAGCTTCAACGAGTCTACAGTCCGTTTCAAAAATATAAACATGGTATTTTTGAAATATTTCAAATTTGGCTGGAGCTTTTTGAGAATTTTTTCCGGAATATTGCTCAGGTCCTTCACATTATCATAATAGATTTTAAAAGCGATCGGGTAGCAAACGCCCAATTTCGAAATGTTTAATGCACAAAGTGATCACAGACTTTACGTGGTATAGATGCTGGTCTAACGGTCGTTTGAAATCACGCGTCTATATTTTTGAAACACACTGTTGTCATGACAGTGCAGGCAACCCCGTGAATGACAAGCCTCAATCATGAGAAACGTGTCGTTAGTCGCGAGTTGTTATTAGGGAGGTTTAGTTCCCACGTAACGGAAACGCGTACGTGGGTGATACACGTAAAGTGGATGAAGGGCATCCACGTGGCAATGTTGTGTTGAGTCACACGGAGCAAACAAAAGCATGAAGCGGAAGGCCCAAACCTGGTCAACGACGAAGCTACCCGGGCCTAAGAAGCTCATCGAATATTTTGATTTCGTGCTTCGGAAACTTCTTCAGCTGAGCACCCTCACAGCTCGCAAGATGCGCTCCATTCTGATTTTCAACCACGTTCCGGCGGAACGTGGGTGAGCCTCCATACACGGTATGTCGTGAATCGGAAAACGTCTGTACGTGGGTCACTGAGTATCACGTGGTGCACACGCGTAAAGTAGCCACGGATTACGTGGGACTAAACCTCCCTACTATAGCCGAGGCGACTACATAGTATGAATAAGTGAGTACTGGCAAACAGGTTTGGATCACAAGCACTGCGCAAACAAGTACACAAAGGTCAAGCACTGATGAACACTACATGACCAGGATACAATACACCATGCAAAGCTCTATTGATTCCAGGCACAGTGAGACCTTGCCTAACCGCACACATCCGTTTTCCACACAAAATATCCGGATAGGCGAGGGAACCGGATCACTGAACACCGGCTATGTTGGATGCATCGCGTATGCTGTAAATCAGTAAGCAGCTATTTTCTTCCGGACGGCAAGGAATCCGGATAAAGAGGACCGGATAAGCGAGGTCTGACTGTACATGATGTCCATGGTACGTGTATTGTGTGCACGCACAGGCCTCATCGGCTACCACAGGATGCTGAGCCGGCAGTGGGTGCTGCTCAAGGACTATCGCGATTCACGGCGACAGGCATTGGCCAGCGGCCTGCGCGTGGACGAGGACAACTTGCCGGCTGAACATCTGGCAATCCTGTCCGAGCTGGAGATCCGCGCCATGGAATCCATCGCCAAGGTTAGAACCTACCTCTCCACCGCACCGGCCGACCTACACCTGCACCGCACGAGAGCCCCCGTACAATGCATGCTTTGGCTCACTGTTTAGGCGAGTAGACCGCATAGGGTACGGGGGGGGGGGGGGGGGGCATGTGCACCCCCTAAAATGTTTGACCTAGGTTCAGCATGCACATATTAACCATTTACCATGAACATAATGCGATGCACCAGCCATCCTACACATATGCGGCCGTGCAGCTCTCCCTAAAAGGGGGACCAGCTACGCTCCTGCAACACCTCTGTTTTTCCTTTGGCATAGCAGAGTAGTCCCTGAAGCTTGCTCCTACTGTTTTGTTGGGAACTTCAATTTGCGAACTGTTCTTTCCTGCTCTCACCTTCTGGATGTCTTCTTGCCTTTCAGTGTTCGAATGCTTTTGAGGCACAGTCCTTCCAGACAGTTGTCCAGCAAATTGCTCGCCTCCATGACCGCCTGAATGTAAGTTACTGTCCCTTTTCTTGATGTTTGTGATGCCAGTAATATATACTGCTCTTTTCTCTTTCTCTTTTCTGTCTGTCTGTCTCTCTCTCTCCCTCTCTCTCTCTCTCTCTCTCTCTCTCTCTCTCTCTCTCTCTCTCTCTCTCTCTCTCTCTCTCTCTCTCTCTCTCTCTCTCTCTCTCTCTCTCTCTCTCTCTCTCTCTCTCTCTCTCTCTCTCTCTCTCTCTCTCTCTCTCTCTCTCTCTCTCTCTCTCACTCACCAACCTCTTCAAACCTGACATTGGGACAATGACATACCTAGCTATGAAAACCTATACAACTGTGGCTGAGAGCCATGCCACTAATTCACCTTTGGGTGCCTATTACCACCCTCGATATCGGACGGTCCCGCCCAAATAGGGATGGTTGGCAGGCATGATTGATGACTGTGCTTTTTTTCAGTCCACCCAACTCGCAACACACAAACGGTCCTTGACTACGCCACATGCAGTAAATTGTCCAAATTTTCATCCAGGAGTGCTTCATCAGGGATGATGTGATTTGGCCATACTCTTCTTTTTGTTGTGTACCATGGTGTCGGCTGTTGCTCTCATCCCTGGTGTTGTGTACAGCCTGCAGTTCAGAACCCGGGTGTGGTGACAAGCGATGTTGTGCATCGCGGCATGCAGTGCGTCATGATCATGCTCTGGCCACTGGCACCGCACATGGCTGAGGAGCTCTGGCAAGGTATGTGAGGGTGTGGGGGGGGGGGGGGTAGTACATATGTGTGTGTGTGGGTGGGGGTGGGGGTGGGGGGTAGTACATGTGTGTGTGTGTGTTGGGGGGGGGGGGGGGGGGTAGGTGTGTGTGCAGGGCCGTAGCAGGCGGTCCGGCAGCTGCCGGACCAATATTCGGCCAAAAAAAAAAAAAAAAAAAAAAAAGGGGGGGAGCTCACCCATGTGAGCAGTTCAGGATGTCCATCCATGATGATGATGATGTGTGCAATAAGTAGTATAGAGGTATTAGGGGTCGTCGCAAAAGTTTTCTGTCGTCCCTGAAACGAACATCGTTCATTTCGTACTTGGACCCCCTCCCCTCCCTCTGAAACGAACACAGCTTGCTATGCTGGACGACGAAAATCGCATGCATGTACATGTCATATGCACAGTGTCGGTCGACTTGCGATTTTGGCTCGCACCCCCTCCCCCCCCAAACGAATCATGTTCGTTTCAGGGACGACAAAAAACTTTTGCGACGACCCCTTACATAGTAGTGCCGGCAAGAGTTATGGACTCTTGGTGCCGGTAGTAGACCTACATTGCACATGTCATCAGGAATATGACCCTGCTGAAGGTCATGAGGACAGTCATGCCCGTGAATGTTCCTACTCTGTACTTCCGGAAACGTGTTCGGATTCTTTTCTTCCTCCAATTCTTTCTAGATAGGGTTTGTACCAAAGATAGTCCATTGCAATACACTTTCTCCTCCTCCAAAGGTACATTTTGGTTCTTTTATCACATGCATTTAGATACTGTTGCTATGCCTTCACAGGCTTCAACAAGTTCTGTTTGGACGGACACAACATGCTGATGCCTTTTTCCTGACTCATGCAGAACGTCCTTCTTCCTTTTCTCGCCCTATATAGCTCTACATGGTCACGATTACATGCATGTACATGTACATTGTACAATGTATGTACATGTGTTTTTGTTTTGTTTTGGCGGGGTAACGGCCTCTTTTACGGGCAAGATAAAGTCATGTACATGTACCGGCATATGTATGAGTATGGGGGGGGGGGGAGGGGGAGCATCAAAGTCGGATCTTGCCGGACCAACCTAAATGGGGCTGCTACGGGCCTGGTGTGTGTGTGTGTGTGTTGGGGGGGGGGGGGTACGTGTGTGAGGACGTGTGTGTGTGTGTGGGTGTGTTGGGGGGGGGGGGGTACGTGTGTGAGTGAGGGGGTGGGGGGGGTGGGGGGGGTGGGGGGGGGTGGGGGGGGGGGGGCGCGTGTGGGTGGGTGTGTATGTGTATGTGTGTACTGAAGTACAAGTGTGTGTGTGTTTATGTGTGTGTGTGCGTATGTGTACAACTATTGTACATGTATACACAAATTGTGTGTGTGTTGTGTGTGCGTGCTTTTGGGGTACATGCGTGACTGTATACTTACAGATTTGACTGTTGGGGGAAGGGGGGGGGGGGGGAGGGACGTATATTCAGGACTTCTTTTTGCTGTGTTTGAGAAGTCCTATCGGTTCACTGTCTGTTGTCCCTTTTGGTCGATTGGTCTTCTTTCATGCAAGCACTGACTTTTTGTTGCCGTCTGTTCTTGTCCTTTGCAGGACTGGAAGACATCCACGGAGTGGAGAAGGTATGTGTTGTTCTTTTAGAGGAGTGTCACGTCTCCTTTTTGCTCTTGTTCTTTCTTGCCATGGTGGCTTGCAAAGCTCTGCATGCCTGCTTTACTGGAATATAGTCACTTCGGAAGCTTTCCATGTCCGCCGTGGGGAGATATGGGTGTGTGTGTATGTGCATGCATGCGTGCGTGCGCGCGCGCACGTGTGTGTGTGATTGTGTCATTATTTGCGAGCTGTTGGTATACCCGAGGTCGTTATTCACGAGGTTGATTGTACTTCGGATGCAACGTACACTTTTCTGTTCCCGCGTGAGTACTGTTTTTCATCACGCCAAGCAACCACCGCGCTGCATGCGTGGATGTCATGTCATGTGTGTCCCGCTGTCCGTGTGTCCCGCTGTCCGTGTGTCCCGCTGTCCTGCTATGTGTGTGTTCTTTGCAGCCAAGTCGGGTGTGGCAGCAGTCCTGGCCGAAGCCTGACGAGTTCCAGAAATACGCCTTGGATGAGTGGACTGTCAGGGTGAGTTTTGTTGTGGTTTGTTTTTTGTTTGTTTGTTTTTGTTTTTACACCATAGCTCAGTGGTTAGAGCATCGCTGGACTCCAGTGAAGGTCCCTGGTTCGAGTCCTGGTGGTGACAGTCGTTTTTTCGTCAGACTTTTCCCTTTTCCATTTCCTCAACCAGTGGATTTTAAGTAAAAGGGGGAGGCTTCCTGCAGTTTCATGTATAGGGGAAGTTACGCCTGAAATCAAATTGGAAATGGAGTAGGCAATTGGAAGCTGAACTCCTCATCCCTTTTGCTGTCTATTGTATGGCAACATACACCTCTGTGTGGTACTATCGACGTCGCCGTGTGTGCTCAGCTGTGATTGCGCTGCCGCAAGCTTTTAAATGCAAATGTTCATTTTGTCTTCTGTCTCTTTCTATCTACCGTCTCTCTCTCTCTCTCTCCCTCTCTCTCTCTCTCTCTCTCTCTCTCTCTCTCTCTCTCTCTCTCTCTCTCTCTCTCTCTCCCTCTCTCTCTCTCTCTCTCTCTCTCTTCACTCACCCCCCCCCCTCCCCGTCTCACTCCAGATTGTCGGCAGCTCGGAGTTGCTGAGGTTCCAGATGCCAGCTAAGTACTCGTCTGACTTGGATGCGGTGCAGAAGCGTGCACTTTCCGACGAGGTTATCCGTACTCGACTAGCTGGACGCAAAGTCCAGTCGGCGAACATCAGGAAATGCTTTCTGACATTGGAAGTGGAATAACATCATACCAAGAATGCGTAATGGATGCTTGCAACGACGATGCCGTCATGTCAAGACTCTTGCAGGCAGCTCTTGCACGTCACACCTTCGCGAGTCTAGCCGAGTACCGTGTCGCATCTGGATTTGCTGTGTCGCTGCGTGCTTGTGGACTTGTGTCGCTTGTCACGTTTACACGTGCACACGGCATTGCACGTACTTGCGGGTGTATGCACGCATGCACGCTCGGTGGACCTTACCCGCTTGTCTGGCACTGCTGCACCTGCCCGTCCTGCACTGCTGTACCTGCCCGTCAGCCTGGTGTGATGTGCGTTGCGGCTCGTACTGCGGGAGCGCAACATCATCGTTATGTGTTTGCTGTGGATATGCGTGCACATGTACATACGTACATGTTTGCATCGAGTCATACTGTGCACAAGCGCATGGCTGCACACATGTATGTGTGGACATACGCTTGCGTGAACATACGTAAGCTTGCATGGACATGTTGGTGTGGACACATGCGGCAAGTGTGGACGTACGCTTGCGTGAATGTAAGCTTGCGTGGACACATGCAGGCGTGGACATACGCTTGCGTGGACATATGTATGCCTTGGCATATGCTTACATGGACTGTATGCGTGCGTGAAATCAGGATAAATCTCGGCGGTACGTGCCTTGCCTTTCACTTTGAGTTTATAACTCCCATCTCCTACTTTGCCTGTACACTGCAGCATAGGAACAAGTATGCTTTCCTATTTCAGAACTTCCCATGGCTTTTAGGCTTTATTTACCTTGCAAACTCGGCTATTAATTTATGGGGTGCGTCAAAAGGAACCTTGGACATTCATCCAGGTAGCTGCCCGGCTTTTGAAGCAACGAATACCCGATGCCCTCCCTCTCTCACCTCTCATCCCTGAATCAACCAAGGCAGCTAACGTGTTACTTTGGCAGGCCAGGCTTTCAAAACCCGTGTCTGTGTGCTCTCGCTGCTGCTACTACTGCTGTATTGTACTGCCGATCCCCCCCCCCCCCTCTCTCTCTCCAGTTTCTGCTCCTGTCGAATTTGTTTCCCCTCCCCTCCCCCCCCCCCCCCCCGCCTCTCTCTCCAGTTTCTGCTCCTGTCGAATTTCTACCCGAGAAGCAACTTCAGCATGCCTTGTATGTCAAAATTCGGTGTTGAACCGACTCATGCACTGCTCTTCATGATGCATGCTGTTGCAGGAATTAGATAGAGGTTATGCGAATGGTTTCATGCCGGATTTTCTAATGGGCAATAAGTATAGAGCATCAGCCAGCGGATTCCCTTATGAGTGCTCAATATACAGCATGAGTCAGCGGATTTTTCAATGGGCGCTAGGTATGCAGGGCGAGTCGCTAGTGCAAGTGCAGCGCCGTGGTGCGACTTTGCCAGAGCATCTCAACTGATGAGGTAATGGTAAATTGCATAACCTCTATAATAATTATTGTATACATGTGCCTGACTGAGGCTGTGCTGTGACCATGTAAACGAACGACTACACGTAAAATCGTAAAAGGGGATCACGTGGGATCCCGTGCCCCCTAGCGCGCACGTGGACCTAGCATGGCGTTCACGTCTAGTGCGTCAATTCTGGAATTAATAATTCCGCCGCCCTCTCTTCAGAATTGACGGAATTGGAATTGACGACGGATTTTTGTGTAATCGAACGGTGCATCCACCATAAAAAAATTTAAAAAAATGTCACGGTTCGCGTGAGACTCGGCTGGAAGCCGGGTTTTCCGCATCCGTAGGAACGCCACCACCCTTCAAGGATCAAGGCGCAGATGCAGCTCCTAAAGCGGTGGGAGGTGAGTAGATCAGCTCACCAGCAAGTGGTCAAAGACCGAAAATCCCATTCACTGCATCCACCATAACTAAAATTTAATTCTAGAATTAAGGTGGCTCCTACCCCTCGGGTCCAAATTTTTTTTGTTTGAAACATGGCTACAAACGATTGTACTTTGTTCCGCAGGATATCTAGTGTACGGAGACAAAATTTTATCAAGTTCTACCGGCCGGTTTCACTCGGGGGAGGGGCCAAACATAGCATACTCACAATTGCCAATTTAGGCCAAAAAACACCGGAAAATAACGTTTTTGGCCGTAGCACTCGTAGTTACCCCCTTTTTCTTGATGTCCAACATCAGGACAGTAGTATACTTGCTAAATACCAGCATAAGCTTTAGAAGTGGGTAGAATTCTGCTAGAAGGTGACCTTTTTCTCTTTTCGGAATCATCCCATTTCAGCGTACACGTCCCAAATATTAGCCCCGCCCACAAGTATTTGACACTGGACTTGCCCTGTATTCGATGGTTATGCTATCATAACCTAATAATGGTACTGTGTAGCAAGTCTGAGCAGGTTCTACCGAAGGTAACTCTTGAAATAAAACTTTGAAGTGTCAAGTGATGCCATATTTTCAAGAATCAGCACATTGCACTGGGACATTGTCCAACGCCTTAGAACCCCTGACTCCACCATATGACAGATACGTATCTTGCAATAATTGATTGCAACATCTTCAGAACATAATAGTAGAGCTTTGGATCAAGTTTTAGCAGTTTCCACCGAAGCTAACTACCGAAATAGAACTTTGAAGTCGCCCACATACTAAATGCCATAGCTGAGCATGTGCATTGTGTGTATGGTCTAAAGGTTTTGACAACTAGCTCCAATGCGGCAGATACGTGTCTAACATTACTTGATTGCAACATCTTCAGAACATAGTAGTAGAGCTTTGGATCAAGTTTAGACAGTTTCTACCGAAGCTAACTACCAAAATAGAACTTTGAAGTCGCCCACATACTAAATGCCATACATGTAGCTGAGCATGTGTATTGAGTGTACATGTATGCTCTAGTGTTTTTCACAACTTTCTCCAACATGAAGCCAATACTGATGTGGAATTTTCGACTGCTTTGTCCAAAACACAGTGCTGAAGCAATGCACATTGGGCACTTTCTACTGGTAATGCAATTATTATTATACAGAGTTTGCTGCCAACATAGCAAGCAATACTGCTATACTAAATGCGTATTCCATTGGGTACGGTCCAATGGCTTTTCACTTCGCATCTAGCCACTGTTCTTCGTGCATTTCTTGAATGCTTAGTCTCCGTGGTAATGAAGCTAAGAGCCACACTGGAGAAGTTTCTACTGAAGCTAACTATCAAAAATATAAAATTTCCAAGATGCTACATAAAGTAGCTGTGTGCAATGCCACTCTGTTGAACACAGTAAACAAAATTGAGTCACTAAAACCCTATTTGCCAGATATAAGCTGTTGAGACTGATAGCAGCTGAGCTGTATGATCTGATATGGATGGCGGTTCCACACTGACCAGCACATGTACACGTGCACAGGCAGAAGAACATACAAGTAATACACCTAACGTTACTTCGAAGTCCATCATGTAAATACAAGCGTATATACAAGCATCACTCCTGTTCTCCACAACCTGCAGTCCTGGGCCACTCCAGCTGGTCAGAGTGCAATAATTTCTGCAGCAGGCTTGACTTGGAAAGCTAATCACAACTGCAATGGCTGCAACATGAGTATTACCAGCGCTTTTACAGTGCTACTTGTATTATATTATTGTCAATCCATTGTGGTGCATGGCACTCGTTTTCAACAACCGAGTTTATGTCATTAGTTGCATATCCAACGCCAATAGAAAAAAGAAGGGGTGGGGCAAATTACCACGGTTCAACACTAGTCATATTGAACGGCGTTATGCCATGCCAGGCGCGCACATAAAACACCCGCGCGAGTGCGCATGCATGTACACACCCGGGTAACACATTCGTGCGACTTTACATAGCCTGCACTGTCGTTCTATGTCATAGGAGTGAGTGCACACACATATACATGTAGATTGCCTAAATTTGCATACGTAATAAAATTGTGTAAGTATACACACATGTGCGTGCACATAATAGACTCAGCGGCATACACATGAGTGTGTGCCGATAGGGCCACATGCCAATTATCGGATTAGTCTGTGAAAGTTGCATGGCACGACAAACTTTCAGACAGTCTAAATATATGACACAATGAATGTGGAATACCCACCAGTGTGTAAGACCATTTCATACCTATTTCGCAGCGTTTGTGATTTTCGGAGCGTCCCTGTTGATATTTGATGTCCTCACTTGGTTGATGACACAGTCACAAATTATCAAATTCACCTCCAATGCCATCCAATCTGCGTTCCGCGATACATGTACAGTGAACGGTGTTGAGGAAAGCCATGCAGCAATAAAACAGTCGAGACTCCCAAGCAGAGGATACAATTCAACAGCGTATTGAAGTACGAATTGTTGTAAACAATTTTCAAGACACAATTACAAAATTTGAAGTGCGTCTTGAAACGTGTTTGAAGTGCTTCGATGTATTTACCTTCGATCTCCCTGAATCGATCCATCCACAGCTACCCGACGAATTTACCAGTCAGTGCGGGAGATGATCGAGCAAGTTATATTTGAAGGTCGCGAGATGTCAGTGGCACTGGCAGGAAATCTACACAAGCGTATTCTGAAATAATTTTCTAAGACTCAGGCGTGATTCAAGAGCGGACTTTGATTTCTCCCTTCTTATAGTACGAGCACCAGTCGACATTGCATTCTTGGAAAATCTTCTGCGAGTGCTGCCTTCCCCTTTCATAGAAAGAACGAGTGAAGAGGGACACTAGCAGCAGGTTCTAGCTAGGTCGCCAGAATTGCAGAAAAGCGAGAAGACGTTTCCTACAACGATTGATCGCACAAAAATCATCGCTACCGAAAAATTTACTGAAAATCTACACTTTTCAAACGATGCGCGCGCAGAGGGTGTGAGCCACCTTAACTGAAATGTGTGTAATCGAACGCGCCCATGGCCCAATGCACTACATACATGTAAGGCCGTAAGGACGGTCTTGTTTTGTTAGCCTGCAATGCACGCATTTACATGTATCATCATTCAAGAGTACATAACCCCCCAGAGTGTGCAACGCCTGATCCAGCTCTGCATAGGGTCTTGGTCGAGCGGAATCGGATCTTTGCGTCATAATACCGTACACATCTGAGGGGAACCCGGGGAGTCGCGGGTACTCTTGGATCAAAAACAATGGTGCCCTGCCTCGAGACCGGCCTTGCGCTGGTGTGAAGTGTACGCATGACATCAGAAGATCCGATTCCGCTCGACCAAGACCCTACACAGAGCTGGATCGGCGTTGCACACTCTGGGGGGTTATGTACTCTTGGTATCATGTATGCAGACATAGACAGCCAACGTTTCGCGGTTGAACCGGATCTTCGAAAAGCTCAACTGCGCGGCAAGGATCAGCTTTTTCCTGAATGGACTGTCCGAGCACAATATGTGGTGGTGTGGGCTTACGACGAGTTCTGTATTGTCTGTAGACAGTATAGCGTAGATAGGATCATGCATCTACCCTTACTTGGGCCTTAGCCCTGTTATGACATGCACTCACTGCTACGTCTTTGTCGCGAAGTCTACAATCGAAAACGCGGCCTAGCACAGACTCAGCAGATCAGTAGCAGCGCGTGATCAAATCACTACCGCTAAGCCTATAGGCTATACAGCGCCAGTCCTACATCATTATCATGCAGATCCACAAGCACACTCGCGCGTACTCGTAAGTCGTAGTCATTTTGAGATCTGAGCAAAAATAAACTCTCATCAGGGAGGGTTTATACAACTCCCTGACTACAATACTCAGTACTGACAATAGGCTAGAGCGGCCTCGTGGACTAAAATCTTCATTTCAGGATTACCCAACGGCTATACCAGTGTACGAGTAGGGTCTATCTTAGTATCTAGGATATCGCAGTTGTTTTGCGGCATCGCTGCCTGACGCACCTCTTCCTCCGTTCTGGGGGCCGGGCGAGCTACATGCTGGTTGCCACGTAACCGTTGGTGACCTCCTCTTTCTCCGCTTGCGCTGCATTGTGGAATTTGTGCGCCTCGGGAACATTTCATTGCTCTTGCAAGGTTGCCAAAGCTTGCTAGCCGGGATAGTCTGTGATTTCGACCATTCGGACTTGCAGGTACTGCTGTGTGCCAGAGAGTGTAAACAGCACGGCATCAGAGACTGAGAGAGTGGCTTGGCTGTGCTGCAAATCGTACGGACGGTTACGTGGAGGTGAAGGCGAAGGCGACAACACACTCATAATTATATCCGGCAATCCACCCGCTTTCCTACTGTGATGCAAGCGTGTTCGAAGACACCGCAGTAAAGATGTCATCGTAATTGCACACGTTCCTCCTCGCTTTCGGCTTGTACAAGGGGCGCACCAATGAGAGAATGGTATGGTAACACTAATAGATCTACACGTCAGTGGTCGATTTGTGAGCTCTACAACATTGTAGATCAGCCCAACACAAACTGTGTCGCTCGCGCTTGTCGATCTACTCCGCTGTTGTGTGGCCGTGGTGTGCAGGGGCATCGCATCGCTAAGAACCCAGGCGTCGCTGGCATCGATCACTGAGTGAGGTAAGCGCAAGAATACGACACTGTGCTACTGTACTAAACTGTACTAGTAATATCTACCGACCACATAGCTATGATTGTGGTGGTGGTGGTGGACAATGCGTTCTAAATATTTGAAGGAGAGCCAGACAGCATGAATGAAACGGGAAACTAAGCTAAATGCTCAAGTCCTGCGCTAGCCAGTTCTGGGATCCCAGCCTGGATGCCCTGGAGCAGAGCGCACCCAATACCAAACAAAGCTGTGGGTGGTAACATTACTGTGAGTTCTAGTTGCAGCAGCAGCTGGAGTTCAGCCAAGAACAAAATGTTCAGATCATGTGACCATGTGACAGTAGGTTTTCAACCTCGCCAATAACAACAACTCGTGCCTAACCGCACTTTTCGCATGCACGATCGAGGTTCAGTATTGCCTTGGATAACTGCAAACACGCGTACAGACCAAAGAAAAATCCAATCTCGACCGGGTCAGTCGCCGGCAGTGGGTACGTGGATGATTTCTTTTCAACCAGGTCCAAGCACCTTGCTCTCACACACTCTGCTGACCTGCATCGCTTCGGAGCAGGTACTGCACTCAGACAAAAGCATGCCCGCTTCTCTAAACGATCATCAGAAAACTGTTTGGTTAGGCCGCGGTCACACATGAAAAGCTTGCACCGCTTTTGCGGAGGCGAAAAGCGTAACTACCGCAGCCGATTTGGCGGAACACACGATGCAGCGGTCACACATACATGTAGACTACTGTGCTCCTCAACGCTCCGCTTTGGCGGAGGGAATGCAAATGCAGCACGTCCTATGAAATTTTAGATGTTCTTGTCCGAGTTGAAGCCACCTTCGCTTGTACAAGTAGAGCTATCATGGATCGCTGACAGGCTGCTGAATGTCTCCTGTCAAGTACACTTGTGGATTTGGGGCACATCCACTGGCGGCCCAGTACTGCTGTACATGTGTTTGAATATTAGTTTAGTTTACATCAATATCAAATTCCAATAGTTGTATAGCAGGGTGTCGTTGCCTCCTCCATGATCCATCATCGACCCCAGCGACTGCGTGGGTGCCTGCAGTTGCAGTGAGGGTGTGGCAGAGTACTCTACTACTCCCTGGTTGCAGTCCTAGTGTTGCATACTCTGGTGGACGCATTGCTTCGAGAGATAAGGAGAGAGTTGGAGATTGTCCGCGATCGGGGCCAATGAGTTGGGAGACGGATTCCCTCACAAACTATCCACTCATAACGATGCAGTATTGTTTGCGAGATCTCCAGAATTTACAGTTCATTGGCAAAGAAGAACAATATGAAAACTGAATACCAAACGGCAACCAAACAACACCAGAACTCAGTGCAGAAGTAGCACGCCAAACTCCAAAGCCATCACCATGCAGGTTCCGCGAAAGCAGAGGTTCCGCTCGCATTTTTTTGGCGTAGCGAAATCCAAACTTTCCGCCAAAAAAGTGCATGTGTGACCGCAGCCCTACAGGCACTCATACATAAACCGCACACCGGGAAAAGTGAAGAGGCCTCCTCGATAGGCGAAAGCCTTTGGGGAATCCAAAAACCATGAAAAATTACAAATTACAATAGAGTGCCATGGTCAAAGGTGTATTTGGGTAACACCACCAGCCCTGCCCCGTCCTTCTCCCTTCACCTTCTTCTCCCCTCTTCCTCCCTGCCCCTTCCTTCCCTTTTGCATCTCCCTCCCCTTCTCCCTTTCCACCCCTCTTTCCCTCCCTCTTCTTTCCCTCCTTCCCTCCTTCCCTTCTCCCTGACGTCCCCTCTCCCCTTCCTCTCCGTTCCTTTCCCATCCCCCCCCCCACCCCTGCTTCCCTACTCCCTTCTCCCTGCCCATCCTCTCTCCCCCTCTCCCCCCCCCCCCCTCTCTCCCTCTTCCTCCCTCTCTCTCCCTCGCCCCACTCCATCCCTTCCACCTTCTTCGCCCCCCCCCCCTCCCCACTCCATCCCTTCTCCCCCCCCCTCCCCACTCCATCCCTTCTCCCCCCCCCCCCCAACCTCCGCTCCATCCCTTCTCCCTTCTCCTCTAAACCAGGGTAGAACTATCCTATAGACAGTCTTCTCTTGTAGCATTGTTTTTTCTTCTTCTTTCTATTATGCCCCGGCTGCAGGTCAGGAATCACGTGCACTGAACGAGCCTATCCAGAGGCCCAGGGAGAGAGAGAGGGTGAGAGAGAGAGAAGGAGTTCTCATCACCGTGACAACACCCAGCGGCAGCCAATCAGCAGTAGCCCAGGGCACGCGGCGAGAGCCGGAATGGAGCGCTCACACCGACGCATTCTGCAGCGCAACTTTGTGCGTCTGCGTGACAGTCTGGCGGTGAACGGCGAGTTGCTGGGCAGTCTGTTCGGCATGGGTGTGTTTGGGACCATAGAGGAGATGCACGCTATTCAGTTTGCAGAGAACGGGACAGAACGGCCGCGCAACATCCAGGTATGGACTGCAGTGAACACTTAAGAAAAATACGTTTTTGTTGGTTGCTGGCTTGTGCACTGGAGATGTGCTATAGCTAGGTCTCAGGTCATCGAATGTCTCAGTAGCCTGTCAGTTTTGTGCCCTGTTATTGCACTTTCTGATAGCTTATTGTCTTGTTACAGTCATGGATAGCTGCTTCACAAATCGTTTCCATTGTGCTTTCTTCTATTTTACAAAAAAATCTCCTCTTCCTTTTTCTCATCAGTAGAAAAAGTCGGCGTGGAGACAAGAAACCTACAATATCCATGAAAGTACGGGGCCATCCGGCATTATCGATAATTTTCACGGAACGAAAAAGTTTGGTTATGACCCTCCCCACCCACCCACCCCCTTCAACGAAAAATATATTGACTTGACAGCTAAAATTGATTGATGTTTCAGCTATCAATAATTTTCAAGACGAAACTCTCCTCAACCCACCCACCCATATACGAAACTTTTTCTCTTCGTGAAAAAGATCGATAATTGCGGACGGCCCCTAAAGTCAAGTACAAAGACTGAGTACGCTCACTTTGCTTTCATCGATATCATAATTATCAGTATCTTCATCACTTGATGAAAACTGTGGCAATACGCCAAACATTTGTAATGTCCCCAGAGTGGTCGCCTTACACGCCCTTGTTTGTTTGTTTGTGTATTTAGCTATATTTTACTTCGCCATTGGCACGGGCAAAATGTTCCTTCTCACGTGTGTGTGTGTGTCATGTGTGTGTGTGTGTGTGTTATGTGTGTGTGTGTGTGTGTGCGTGCGTGTATGTGCGTGTGTGTGCACATGTTCGTGTGTGTGTGTGTGTGTGTGCGCGCGCGTGTGTGTGTGCGTGTGCGCGTGCTTGTATGTGCGTGTGTGTGTGCACATGTTCGTGTGTGTGTGTGTGTGTGTGTGTGTGTGTGTGTGTGTGTGTGTGTGTGTGTGTGTGTGTGTGTGTGTGTGTGTGCATGCATGCACCATGTAAAGGTGGAGAGGCTACTGGCTCACTTGCCCCATGCTGGCTCCAAGGCGTTCGGTCACTTTTGCACCGCTCTCTATGCCTCATCTTCAGCCGCCAATGAAGAACTGGCTAATTTACTGCAAGAAGACTGTGAATCAGGAGAGCCAGGTGAGTGCAACTCCGAAGCACTCTTTCCACTCTGTTTTCCTTTTCTTTCTCCAATGCTTACAACAACCGACACATTGCCAAGGCTCTGACAAGAGTCCACAACTCCCCAGTTCTCCCGTTTCTCTTTCCCGTGGGGTGCGTTACTGAAGAAAAAAATTGAAAAATAAGAAATAAAAAATGCGCAATTGCTGGTGGATAGCTATCCAGACCTGTGTTCGGAATGATGCCGCTTTTTGTTGGACATCCACAACCAGTTATGTGCATGCGTTGCAGGTGCGAGGTTAAGCCATGCACTCTGTGTGTACAGCCGGGTGAATAGCATCAAGACACACAGTGTACTTGTGAGAGCGCCGAGTTGTGACGTAGGTGTATGCGTCAAGGGCCTATCCAGAGATCTCTACAGGACGGGGGTCTAGTTTAGTCCGAGCTGAATAGCTGATACATGTATATGTACATGCATATGTATATGCATATGGTTTCCGGTATTACATTGGTGAACTTTGGAGAGGGGGGGGGGGGGGGGGGGGGGACCGCGGAGCCCCCGGACCCCCCCCCCCCCCCCCCCCCCCCCTTCGATCCACCCCTGTGTAGTTGAACGTTGTGTGGAGTTGTGTGCTCTTGGTCACGGCCAAGCACTCGCACGAGCGCGTGAAACTTCCACGGTAATTTGGGACAGTGTCTGGGATATGTCGCTAATCTCTTGCCCTCCGAACGGAACGGCATTAAGTGCATGGCATGTAATCAAGGTGATCTCAGCGACGGGCTGTGCTTTTGCAAGTGAACTTTTGCGTGTTCTCCATTTTTGCTGTGAAACATCACCACTGCAGGCATGCATTGTGTTTCTAACTCTCATTACAATGTTCTACCCTGTATGCGCTGCTCTACAGAGGCGCAAGCAGCAAGCGTGCCACCGAGAGATGTGCAATCATCTTCGCAGGCGCCATCGTCGCTGCCGCCGCGCACACAGACTGCACCAAGCGCTGTCAATGCTGCTGGTGCTGCTGGTGCCGCCGCCGCAGTTACCAGTTCCGGCGCGACGCGGCTACTTCACGAGCGCCCCACCGACAGATCTACAACCGCTCCGCTCCAACATCCCTCTGCCGACCGCACCAGATCATCAGCCTCGAAAGAGGCTGGGAGCGACGCCGGACAATCAGGTCAGTCCCCACGGCAACACCAGCAAACTGGTACGGCGACAGACACGCCACGATCAGCACGTGACGCGATGGCGGTGCCCTCCCAGGTCGCTCCCAGCGCAGCAGCCGCTAGCAAGCTGGTTACGCCTGGCTGGATGCCAGGTGCGAGCGTGTCAGGCTCATCGGAGAGTTCTGGCATGGTGTGGTCACCTCCATTATCCCCACACGCTCAACTGTCCTCTCCTACTTCGCCGGAGAATGCGCCGGCCAGCACAGGTCCACTTGCAGCAGCTTCAGTTGGCGGCAGCTCATCGAGTACGATTGCTAGCCCGTCATCGGGCAGCACTGAGCGAGCACAGGCCACGCAAGTGACCACTGGCAGCAAAGCAGCATCATCGTCGTCACAAGCCGCTGGTAGGACATCACGACGGTCCAGTCTGCTCCTGGATTCGCCCGTACGCACTCCCCTGCCGTCGGGCAAACCGACTTTAATCGGCGTCACTCCGGTCGCGAGTGCGTCCTTTCATCGCTCGCCATCGCAGAGCAGCAGTGGGTCGCTGTCAGCCGAGACCAGCAGCAGCCCCTCGCCATCGGTATCGGTGACGCCATTGCATCACTCAGCATCGCAGAGCAGCACACACAGTTCACTTTCAGCCGAGAGTAGCAGCCCCTCGCCATCGGTATCATTGACGTCTGGCGCGGTGCTCAGCAGTCAACACAGTAATAGTGGCCATGGTGACAGCAACACCACTGCTTCCGCCCCCGCCTCATCACCGCACTCACTGAGCTCCAGCACGTTGCCATCATCGCCCCCGGCAACCAGCACAGTGCAGGGAAGTCGCCAAACCAGTACAAGCAGTGAGGGCAGCGGTGGCATGTCGGCACAATCACGCCAAAATGCCACCCCCACCACCGCCGCCGCCGCCACCGCACCACGAGTGTTGTCAGTAGTATCATTGCCTGGCGTGGGCACGTCGACCGGGTCTGAGGTTCTGCAGCGCACGCACTCAGAAGGACAACAACCAATGGTGGTCACGGCAACTGACATTTTGCATACTCCCGTCGCTAGGCAACACAGGCCGTCTACCGAAGGCGCACAGGCCGTTAACCTGTCGGGAGAAACACCACCGCCGACGGAGCAAACAATCTCGGAGCTTGCACAGCTTGTGCCGAGCCTATCGCCGTCTAGTCAGGACCGGCTGATATCCTACGGCCGATCCCTGGCACAGAGCGGATCATCTTCGCTGATAGCGTCCCCCGGGCCGGATGCCGCACAGAACGGCTCTGGGGACGACGGTGCGTCCGCTTCATCCGCACGTCTGCCCGTTTTCAATTCTGCCGGGTCGCGTGTTCAAGCTCATGTCGTTTCGGCACACTCTTCGTCGTCAGCTATTGGGGTGGCTTTGGTTGCTGTTGCTGGTGGTGACGGTGCTACGGCGAACGGTTCAGGTAGCAATGCTGTGCTGGATTCTAACATGTCCGTAACGGCGGCTGGTGTGGGACAGCAACCGTCTAATCTTACGCCTCTCGTCTACGCTGCGCAGTCCTCGGCCACATCGACAATGTTGGCCTCGGCGTCGCCGCAAGACAGCTCTCAGGGGCCACTGCCGATGCGGTCGCTTTGGCCGGCCACTGGCGGGAACGCCGCCGGCGCTGCGGCTGTCGCTACCGGTGCTACCTGTTCAGTGCTGGCTGCTCCTGCCCAGGTCAGCACCACAGCCAGTCAGCCTGTCAGCTCCATGCTACAGCGCACAGAGACACGGCCAGTATCAACCGCAGCAGCAGCACCAGCACCAGCAGCATCAGCAAGGAGTACGCTACCGGTGCAGGAAATGGGCGAACACGTCAATGTCTTCTCAGGGCGACAGGACTATGGTAAGGGACCATGCATTACTCTGTATACATAGCGCACACAAGCAGTTCCACTCATCCACTTCCATGACATCATTCCATGACATCATTCGATGACGTCATTCACGTGCCCTGTGCAGCTACTGTAACACCAGTAATGTTAACGAACATTTAATTCTAACGAGTTACCGAATTTGAAAGAATCGTTAACATTTGAAGTCGTGAAGAAGTTCGGCTATAAAGAACTAATTCTCCTGCTCAATAATGTTCGTTATAATCAGGAGTCAACTGTGCTTTAAAGTTTAAATTAAAGATATGTGTCTGCATTCGAGAATGGCTGTATGCTTCCTGTCCACTGGTAGCATTATTACGTTATACCGGCCATTCTTTTGCATTGGTGTTGCTCTTCGAATCTGCCATACAGGTCTTGAAGCGGTGCTGGAAGAGGAGATGAGGCGTGTGCATTGCATGGTGCAGCTTATGTCTGACGGCGGAGCGTCATTGCCGCATGACTTCATGGTCAAGACGCTGACGGAAAACGAGGATGGGACCATTGGTAAGCGAACACAGGGGTATTGAGCGATTTATCTCATGAACCCTTGGTCGTAGCACTTCACAGATGGGTTTATGGAACGCTGAGAGTTTCCTCTTAAACCTGGGGATTTCGATCGTTGAGTTTTAGGTAGTTTTGACCGAGTTACGGCCTGTTGAAGTTACACAGTTGAATGCGTCGAATTCTATGCATTCAAGTACGGCGCAGCTTTCAAAGGGTTAAGCGAAGCCTGTCCTTGAGGACACCTGGAGAATACGACCATCTGGCAGATGAGACCACCTTTCGGCAGTCTCTTGGAGGTGTTTGCACACCTGAACTTTACAGTTAGGTGTTGTCCGTGTGTCAGTGTCCGTGTGTCATTCCTAACATGTGTGTCCATGTGTCACATGTTCTCTGTCTGTGTGCTGTCTGTATGTTTTCCGTCTGTTGCCCCGTGTGTTGTCCGTGTGTTGTCCGTACGTTGTCCGTGTGCTGTCCGTGTGTTGTCCGTGTGTTGTCCTGGGGTGCTGTCTGTGTGCTGTACGTGTGCTGTCCGTGTGCTGTCCGTGTGTTGTCCGTGTGTTGTCCATGTGCTGTCCGTGTGCTGTCCGTGTCCTGTCCGTGTGTTGTCCGTGCGTTGTCCGTATGTTGTCCGTGTGCTGTCCGTGTGGTGTCCGTGCGTAATTCGGACGACGTTTGTGTTGTCTATGAGCCGCTTGTGTAATGTCCGAAATAACGGACAACACATTATGTTGTCCGTCTCTGTGTTGCCCATTTTTCAGCAACGTGTTATCGTACGCTGGTCACGTGTTTATAGTTTATGATTTGTGTGTGTGTGTGTTTGTGTGTGTGTGTGTGTGTGTGTGTTTGTGTGTGTGTGTGTGTGTGTGTGTGTGTGTGTGTGTGTGTGTGTGTGTGTGTGTGTGTGTACATGCGTGTGCAAACCCTACAGCTGTACACGAAGAGAGGCTGACGGACGTCCTCGGCAGGGCCACCTGCAAAGTGTACATACAGCGGCAACTGCTCGAGGCCACCCAGAACGACGCTCCACAGGCATTGATGCAGTTCTTGCGCCGCCGTGGTATACGGCAAGAGGCGACCACAGTGTTCTGCGATGACGAGGAGAGACCTATCGAGGTGCACGCCCTAACCGGAGAAACCATTGCGAAACAATCAAGAGGTTGGTGTGTTGCAAAAGAAGGATCCACGAGCGGGATTCAAACCTAAGTTTTATCTGTAGCACCAGTGTCTGCTCTAGGATTTCAAACCAACCGGGTACACGTGTGCCTGGCATAACACTTGCAACCGCGTCAGAGCTGGGTTCGTAATTCAAGTGCAGCTATAAGCACAACTGTATTTACATCGGGGAGTTGTAAGAGTATGTTAGGACTCTCTGATGTATATTGCATTCCCAACCGGGTCACAGGTGACCAGTGTTCTTCCCCCCCCCCCCCCCCAACTGGGCCGCTGTCCTGGCTTGCCCGGCTCTGGAGCAGACACTGCAGCGCCCCTGTCTTTCTGGAACAAATCTTATCTTGTCCGCTTCGGAGGGAACTCATGACGGCCGCTAACACCCGGTAAATCCAGCCGCTGAACATGACGAAGACACGGACACCGCCACTATCTATACCAAACTATGCTGCATGACTGATGTGCAGAGAATGTTGACTGCAGTGCGGTGTGTGTGTGCACGTGTGCGTATGTCTGTTTGTGTGCACGTATCTGTATGCGTGTGTGCATGTGTTTGTGTGTGTGCGTGTGTGTATGTGTGCGAATATGTGTTCTCGTGCTCGACAGCTCCTTGCCACGTTCTGGTGCGCATCGTTCTCAAAGTCAAGCTGCAGAAGTTCTACTCTCGCCTGGTCGAGCTGGCCGTTCTGCAATGTCTCGAAGACTACGGAGACGTGGTGGAGAGAGACGCGATACGCGTGCACAACCGGATGGCGGGCAGCACCGACCTGATAGTGGAGATGTCCATCGTGGTGGCATGGCGTCTGTATCTACTAGCCACAGCGCACCCGGCACTGTTCGCTGGCATTGGTATTATGACGATGGCAATCGTGGGACGACCCGTTGTGCTCTGCCTCTTCCCGACGCCACAGTCGCTGTTTGCAGGTACAGTACCTTCACCACGCAGCGAAATTTCTTGTTTTCGTGCTTGTGTGTGTGTGACGGTGTGTGTGTGTGTGTGTGTGTGTGTGTGTGTGTGTGTGTGTGTGTGTGTGTGTGTGTGTGTGTGTGTGTGTGTGTGTGTGTGTGTGTGTCTGTGTCTATTTATCTTTGTACATCTGTGTGTATGTGCATGTGTGTGTGCGTGCGCACACGCATGCGTATGTGTATGCGTGTGCATTTCCATCTCTGCAGGTCTAGAACCAAAGGAGGAAGCGCAGAGCGAGGAGATTCTGCGTCGACTGCGTGACTTCGTCAGCGCAACGGACGCGGAAGACATTCGCCGGCAACCCAACTTTGAGCGGAGGCTGATGCTGTGCGTGCGCCTTGTCTTTCACAATCCTCTCCTGCTGCGGACGGTGCGAATGATCGTGGATGGTAAGAGAGCGGCCGGGTTGTGAATGCTGCGGGCATGGTACGTGCACAGTAACCTGGCAAGGCGACCACTCGGATACGACTAACCTTCGTTTTAGACAAGCTAGCAATCATGTCTCTATTCGTTGAATCTCTACCGGGGCGTAGCAGCCGGTCCGGCGGCTCCGGCTGCTACGCCCAGAATGCAGAATTCTGCACCCTAATTTCAACATTTTCCCGGGGAGACCCCCGACCCCCGACCCCCCTCCGGCCAGACCACCTCCAAAGGTGGGGTGCTACATGCCTGCACTAGGTGTGCATTGTGGATAAGAAGAACTCTCGTTATTGTGAAGAAATACCATCGGTCCCTTAGTGTTGGTCCTGAAAAAGGCTTGGCTGTACAATCATGTACACTGCTGCTCACTGCAAGTCTCATGCCCTTCCTGTAGCCCTCGGATGGGTTTTGTTTTTGGACCATGCGTTAATGTAATGGAAATGGAAACACGGCGCTACTTTGACTCACGGGCTGAGTGTCTCTGGCCACGACTCTACATCCAGAGATACCGTATCGTCCAGAGTATGAGCTGCACCGGAGTATACACCATAGCCAGGATTTTTATTATCACAAACTTCAGACGTCTACCCTATTTATCAACGTTGATTTGACCAGCATAGTAGAAGCCGCACTGACTTTTTTTGGGTGAGTTACTGATGCTTGAACAGTGTGGCTTATACTCTAGAAAATACGGTACCTGACAACCTGAAGCCTTACAACTACTCGCACTCTCCATTCCGATGATAACAGTCTTGCTGACTTCGAAAACCCGATTCTGGCCGAAGTCAGCCCTAAAACCTACCTTTACACGTCAACATGGAAATTTGGGTTTTTGACCTGCTTCCTGTTTTCTCCATAGTACTTACCAGTATGTGTGTGTGTGTGTGTGTGTGTGTGTGTGTGTGGTGTGTGTGTGTGTGTGTGTACTGCTCTGTGTGTGTGAATGTGTGTGTGTGTACGTGCATGCGTGCTTGCCGTTCAAAGGTGCAACACATGACCAAGTTGACGACATGCAGCTCAACTGGCTGGCGACGCACGGATCGTCCACTTCCGCCAGGGAGTTCCTGGCAGCTGCGGATCGTGGATTTGTGATGGTACGATGCATTCTTTCTATTACCTTCAAGCACCACACGAGAGTGCCTCGCCGCCTGGACGTGCGCGCGCGTTCATGATTTAATGGCGGGTTGGCCTATCTGCCAGTGCATTGTATGAATCCCTTGGCTGCATGTGCTGCCTTGCAAGCTGTTGAATGGTGCAATCCCAGCACAAGTTGCTATGTCTAACATAGCTTGCTCGCTATAATCGCTTTAGCGATGGGCAGGAGTATGAGTATAGTATGGATATCAAGCTTTTGATAAAATGTCTGTCTGTTAACCTGCCTCTCTGTCTGTCTGTCTGTCCGTCCTTTGTCCGTCCGCTCGTCCGTCTGTTCATCTGTCTGCCTCCCGATTCGCCGCTGAACAGAAAGTCCGAAAAGCCGAGCAGAAGCAAGCAACCCGGCAAGCCGCCGCAGGTGGACCGATTGTCGGCTTACCGCCGCTACTGGACATGAAGTCATTGAAGGCAGTGGCAATGACCACCACCACATCACAACCACCGGCATCATCATCATCATCATCCAGTCCCCTCCTAGCTAGGCTGGCCAAGTCTCAAGCCGAGCTGGGCGCAAGGACAGCAGCGCAGAATCAGGTTCGTGCACAGTCGAGTCTGGTGTGTCAAGAATGCCTACGCATTTTTTCTTTTTTTAAATCTGTTCAACTGTTCCCAGCAAGACTGCATGGACAGTCGCGTACTGAGGTTCCGAATAGAAACACAGTTAGATTACGTAGGAAACATACTACACAAATACGTTGATCCCCGAGCTGCAGAGAGTGCTCAATGTCAGAGACGGAGCGTAGAACATAGCAGACTCAGCGGAGGACGTTCAGGTTGGTTGTAACCAAGAACAGGCAAGCAGCAGACAACCAACCCGAACGTCCTCTGCTGAGTCTGTGAGGAAACGTATTATAAATTTATAATTATTATACCACAGTCAAACCTCTTTAGGACGAACATCAACGGACCGTTGACATTTGTTCGCAATAACGGGAGTTCTTCTTATCCGTATGTTTTACCCAGTGAATACACAAGGTTTTATCCAATACAGTTACGAATACTAGTTCGAAGTAGTTCTTCTTAGGCAAACATTTGTCTTATCAGTGTTCTTCCTAACGAGGTCTCACTGTACACTGTTTTTTGAATGGCAATAAACAGAATCAGCTGAAGAGACATGTTACGTATGTAAAGTGGTGATGGACAAAGAAATAACTACACTGCTGTTTTTACGTAGAAAGGAAAAGGACATATGGATACGAGTTAAGAGTAACTCTCCATCACTGTAACCAGATACTATATACAGTGAAACGTGTCTAAGACGACCGCTCAAGGGACCTTCAAAGTGTAGTCTCTGTAATCAGGTGGTCTCCTTATCCAGGGTCATTTCACTGGAAAGGCATCCCTTGGTCCTGGCGGTAGTGGTCTTCTGGGACAGGTGGTCGCCTTGACACGGTTTACTGTACAGCCAGAAAGTGCTGTTACTGTAGTTACTGCATTGTTGTCTGATGATTGGTTTTTGCCATGAAACTCTGAGTAACAACAAAACAGCCCTATTCAATTACTTCCTTTTGTGTACCTCTTCGGTATACTACACCGTAATGGTGATGGGTGGCTAACCATGGATGTGTTCTTTTCTTTGACTTCCCTGATTGTGTGCAGTGGATTACGACAGAGCACCCGATGACCGTCACGACCCACCACCAGCGCCATGGTGATACTGACGATGATGCTAAGGCCGGTGGCAGCAGTGCCAGACTGTTCACGGCCGTGCACGGCGAGTCTCTCTTCGTGGCCGCCAGCCAGCCGCCGTCAGTGTACCGCGCGCCCGTACGGAACTTGTCCAAACTAGGCGGTGGTGGTGGCGACGTAGCGGTGAAATGGACGCAGGTGCCGATACCGGACACCGTGGCCGAATGCTGCGGGCTCTGCAGCGATGATCTAAATCTCTACCTCGTGTCTTTGCCCACGGCCGAGCACCAGCCCAGTCGTCGGAACGAGGTGTATCGGTTCACCGCCAACGCGGACAAGCAGCACGTGGGCGCCAACGAAAGCTGGACGCTGTTGAAGGGCGGCATTTCACGGATTTCGCAGCGCGGCACGACTGTCGTACAGGCCGAGCACGGCCTGCACTTCCTCGGCGGTGATACTGCAGGTAGCGACAATGAAGACACGACAAAACCATCAACCACGAGCACGTATCACAGACTAACAGATCACCACTGGTTGACATCCTCGCCATTGCCATCACCATCGTCAAAAGACACGGAGAGGTTGCAGCCGCTGGCACTGCCATGCACACATGGTCACGCCACAACGCGTCACGGCGACATTATTCTCACTTCCGACGGCGGCGGCGGTGCGGAAGACAACGCCACACGGCTGCAGATTGGTGTGCGCGCCCCAACATCGTCGTCATCGCAGCTTAAGTGGCTTCCCGGCGGCACCTTCCCGATGGAAACCGATCGCTTGGCAAGTCTCGTCGCACTGGATAACACGTCACTTCTGGTAGGCGTGTGTCGTGCATCGTCCCCATCGCAGCAGCAGCAGCAGTCCACGTGTGTGGTCCTCGCCTACGATGGCGCCAGTAAGGCGTTGAGGAAAGTCGCCAACCTGCCACCAGTGCCTGCATGTACAGGCGGTGAGGCGTGCAGTCTAGCCGTGTGTGAGCGTAAGCTGTATGCGTTCACCAGCGCTGCATCCCCGCCGTCGCACTCAGACAGTGAGCCTTTGAGTAAGGTCAGCATGCATACGCTGGATTTGGCGGGACTGGTTTGACTTGTCGCTCGGCAGCCAAGGGAGTACGCGCTGACTCTGTCTCTCCTTCTCTCTCTCTCCCTCTCTGTTTGTTTGTCTGTCTGTCTCTCTATCTTTCTATCTCTCTCTATCTATCTATCTATCCCCGTCTTTTGACTTCTCTGGACCGATGTGAAGAGACTCGGTTACACTGAAACACGTGCGTGCAGGCAGGCTCACACGTAGAATGATTCATCTGTTCTTTTATATATAGGCATGTTTTTTTTGAACATCTGATATCACTATATTTTCATTTCAATTTCAAAATGAGTATTATTATAAGGACTGCCAAATTTGGAAGGGGAAATTCACGGTATAAGTCCACGTGATTTCGTTACGTGAACGTAGACTCGGCAGAATAGATTTTCTTTACGTTTCGGGAATGTGAAGAGAGTTCCCAGGATTCTTCGCGTCTCGTTCCCATAGCGTAGAGTAGAACCTCACTATAGCACCATGCTAGCATATCTTGAAGTATGTGCCATCTTTTCTGGTTGTTTGGTTTTCTGGTCTGTCATTCACGTGTGGGAATGTACCCACGGTGAGACTCTCGAGTAGTTTGTCAACACCTGCTGTAACTCTCTGTTCGTCGTGATTTGCGCACGTGCACGTGACCGGTTTCTGGCAGCGAGCAAGCACACGTGTGTGTGTGTGTGTGTGTGTGTGCACGTGTGGGCCCTTGGAAAGATGCCCAGCAATACACCGGTCCACTCAGTGCAACTGAGAATGCGCGTTTCAAGCGGAGGAAACGGCCGACGCGAGTACCATCAAGATTTAAAAAAAATGTTAATAAGCTCCCAGAGGCTGAGATTGTGTAATCTTGGCACCATGCGCAGCACCAACGTGTGTGGGTGGGTGTGGGTGTGGGTGGGGTAGGGAGATATTTACACGAGTTAGCTACATGTACATGTACGTTTGCGGCCTTATTGCAACTGTGATTAGGATAAAGAAGCGGTGAAAATAATGTCGAACTGCAATCTGGTAAATCGTGTAGAACGGCAGCCATCGGGTAGTTTAAATCATTTATATAACTGCAATCGTTGTAACGGGTGTACGAACACGAAACGAGGGCACAGCGATGGCGCTAGGCTCTGCCGGGATGCCAGCTACGCACGCCGCCCGAAAAAAAACGAGACAGCACAAGTTAAAAAGGGAAAGAGAATCAGTTTTCGTGGAGGCAGAAAATGCACAAAAATCAGCGCAGTTAATAAAGCAAGTGGCAACGTATAATATTATGTTCAATGATGCCTAACTTGTGTAAATAGTTCGTGTATTGAATGCGCAACTTGCCTTGTTTATTGCGTTGGAAAGAGAACCGGCAGTCAGTTTGCGTACGCGCTTGGCGAAACGGTAAATCGGGCGTGCACGTCTCATGGCCGCCATAGTCTGTCATACACACATGCACGCGCACGCACATACATGCACGCACACACACACATACACGCCAGTGAATAGTCCGTTGACTGATCATCCAGTCTGATTCATCGAGACACGTTAACAGGCGAGCGCCTTAAGTTGCCGCCCCATGCCACCACGCTCATTGCAAGCAAAAGAGACGAGGGGTTCTAGTCTGCGCGGTGCGATCAGCTAGACAGGAGCTCACGCTGTGTCAAGGAGCGAGCTCTCAGCAGCGACGCGATACACAGTGACCCATACGCCACCTGTGGAAGCGCGATAGCTATATCGTCACACCGTTGGAGGTTCAGACGATGTCGTAGTCAATGCTTGGTTGTCGATACTGTGGCCGGATCGATAACGCTGCATGGCGAAGACGACGTCTCCTGAACTGTGGCAATGACAAAGCAGCAGCAGCAGCAACGACGATGTCAACAACAAGGACAGCAGCAGCAGCAGCAAGAACAAAAACAGGAAATAAGAACAAGATTCTTTCATCTGTGAGAACCGGACCTATGGGACGGTGAGAAGGCAATCATGCCTGTGCAATTGGTGAAGTAAAAGTCAACGACAAGAACAAGAACAAGAACAACAGCGGCAACACCACCACCACCTACAACAACACAAAAACAACTGTGAGAACAAAGAATTCAAAACTCCAGCAGCAACAACAACAGCAACAACAACAGCAACAGCAACAACAACAGCAACAACAACAAACAATAACAACAACAACAACAACAACAACAACAACAACAACAGCAACAACAACAAACAATAACAACAACAACAACAACAACAACAACAAACAACAACAACAAACAAAAACAAAGACGACACCAACAACAAAATACACTTTGAATCCGCCCAACGGCACACTCACGTGGTGCTTTGCCGCCGTCCTTGCCACTGCTTGCCGACCATTTCTCCTTGGTGAGTGCGCGGAGTGAGGGGCGTGTTCGGGGTTTCAGCGAGTGCCGCCGCTTCAAGTCGATCTTGTCTGCGATTGAAAAAACCAAGCAGGAGAAGAAAGCCAGCCAAGCCGCTTATGGTTGCACGTGGACACACGAGTGCATAATGTGCATTTAAACAGGTAAGCACAGCCCAAAGTCAAAACCAGAACTGAAGGAAATTGTGTAGCATTGCCCCTCCCCTCCCCTCCCACACATGCACACACATATGCACACACGTTTGCGCATACAAACACACACACACACAGGCAAACAGAGATGACGTTTTAGTGATGACCCTCCATATCCTGTCCAGTCATTTGACCTTGAATACACAGTACCCCGACCATAAAGTCCAGATTTGTCCCTTGGAGGATCCAGTAATTATAACGAGGAAGTAAATCTAACATTTTAACAAGTGACATTTCTTCGGAATGGGTTTGCTCCCACACTGGAGCTCGCGCTATTCCGCCGACTTGACATTTCTTCGTTGTAATAAGTTCTGCCAATGCTGTATTGCCTGATACAAAAGTGTACGTGTTTTGTGTGGATATGCCTGAAGACTGCATGATCGTTAACGGATCTTCTCGCTAACCCATGGGTTTTGGACAATCGTCAAATTTGCGACTCGTTACAACAACATGCTTTACAGTACGTGTGACATTTCCTTGCAGGGAGTACATGTCTAGTGCTGCTCAATGAAATCCAGTCGCGTCACTCACGTTTTGCGCCTTGCACAATTTCGCAGCTCAGCGTTCGCAGGACTCGGACTGCGCAAAAAATAGCGGCGCGTACTCCGGAGTGACTCGACTGGATTTCATCAAGCAGCAACTGTACTTCGAAGTAAGTACCATACAACACGCTATTTTTGGTGTTTTTTAATTTCGGCAATTTCAGTAGAGAAAACAGGCACCTGAATGTAGATAACACCTGGAAGGTGCTAGCGTACTACTGTACAATGTATGTGATGGATAGGCTAGTCACCTACTTCTACATTACACCTGAAACCTGGCAGGTTACTGACACTCGAAGATGTAGTGATGTAATCATGTACATAATGTATACAGGGTTCGTAGCACAATCTATACACAAAATTTCAGGGGATTTCCAGGGGCATTTCAAGGGTATTCACAGATGTCACACAGTCGCTAGACACCACATATCCGTAGCCACACAGAGGTTCACTGATTCAGAATGTCAACAATCGAAGATTTGATCATCAATACTACAAGTAGTAGAGCCACCGTCACCATCAGGCTTCTCCATCGCTGAGTTCTTAGCGAATTAGCCAGTCTTTGTACGGGTCCAAAGACAACCAGCGATCGTTGAAAACACACTTGCCTTTCGGCATGGAGAACAAGTACAACTCTGTAAAACTTCTTCGGCATTCCGAAAAAAACTGAAGACACTTTGTCTTGTTGAAGGCCAAAACAACCAAATAAAACGGAAAAGCAGTTGCATTGGCGGATTCCAGATTCGCTACAGTCAGGAACCGTCGTACCACAGTCGATAGTCGAGCGTACATGGCGATCAAAAAAATACCGTAAAGAACTAAAGATTCACGTGAGCTGCGCTGGCCGCTGAGGCCGTCGACTCACATGACCAGTACAGGTGACCAGACTGGCACTCGTAGATCTATGCATATCATGTACAGTCAGTCGCTGAGTACGGAGGTCTACCAGATCGCGTGATCTGGAAAAAAAATTTCAGGGGATTCAAGGAACATTTTCTTTAAAATACAAAATTTGAGGGGATTTCAGGGAATTCCTGGGGGAAGAAAAACTTTCAGGGTTTTCAAGGGTTTTTAAGGGTGCTACGCACCCTGTGTATAGTGTGCGCATGCGTGCATGCTTGCAGTAGAGAACTCGCAGAGCTTGAAGACGAAGCCTGCAATGGCCACCTCCAGACTTGTATTGTTGTAGTGTTGTCCATCTACAGAATTTAACAACGCCTAAAAATTACAAGTTATACAGCAGTGATGCAGGCAGTGCACGTAACACTTACCGAGACCGATTTCCCGCAGGTTCTTCACAGTTTCTCTTTCTTCCGATTCGTCCGACGGCAGGGTGGAGCTGTGGCTCTTGATGTTGCCCAGGCGCTTCTTGCCGCGCGGAGAGCCAATGCTCTCTGCACTCATCCTCTGCGTTAGCTTCTCGACGGAGCTGGAACGTTCCCTGGTGTTGTCGTCGCTGACTGCGCACCGCTGCTCCTCGTCCTGGCAGAGCTCGTCGAGCCAGGCCATCGTCGTGGCAACCTTCTGGCTCGACGCCTCGCTGTTGGCGGCTGCCATGACAACCGCGACCGTGCGCGTGGGTGGGTCTCTCTCCCTGTGCTTTGGCACAGTGCCCAGTGTGTCTGCTGGTGCTGCTGTCTTGCGTCCGCTGCCTGTTACGCTAAACCAAAGTTCTCACTAGCAGATCGAGCAAGAGCGCCGGCGAGGGTGTATCATCCGGATGGCATGGTCTGAACGCCGTTGCCTTCTTCGACGTCGTCGACGTGAAAAGTTCCGTATCCACGTGCAGCGATGATCCTGTAGCCAAGACAACAAGAATATTGGTTCTAGTGAAGTCTGTAGCATTACTATTGTACAGTAACTCTACAAATTTTCGGCCCATTCAAATTTCGGCCTCCCAGGGCTAAAACACATTTCGGCTGCAACAAATTTCGGCCTGTGCTGCTGCTGCCTGTATACACTGTCACACTGAATCTTGGAAAACAAAATTTCGGTCGCAACAAAATTTTTGGCCAAGTATGACCAGGCCGAAAATAGCCGAAAGTAAATGCGTACCGAATATTTCTTGACGGAGAGTAACTGCCCGCCGAAACTGCATCACTTCTGTACAAAATTTCCTCGCTGCACATACATGCACATGTAATTCGCTCTAGCGTAATTTTTGCAAGAACACACTGTTCTGCAGTGTTCCAGTTGTCCCATGCGCACAGACACCTCAGTATAAACACAAGATGGCGTGCAGTCGAGTGTTTTACCGGCCAAGATCACCTTTTTTTCCTTGAAATTTCTGCTCGATAACCCTCGCTCATAAAAATTGCCATACCCCAGACAGGACCGCCGGAAACAGTATTCAATTGGTCCGGTCGTACCAAAGCCTTTCATACATCGTGTTTGATATAGTGGAAGCATAGTACAACCTTCCAATAGCTGTAAACAGGCGTTGGTGGCCACAATGTCGGTCCGGTCATAACCTCACCAACTGGACCGGTTCGGCGGGCCTGCTGGAGATTGCGCCATAGCGAGGCCTGACCGGGTCACCCGTACCTGTATGTGCGGCTATGTCATTTCAAAATACGGTATGCGAAACTTATAGAAACTTATAGTTGTATGAAAGGACTCGAGTTTCTGTCTGTTCGGCTGCGGAACATTCGAGCGGCACAGTCGGAAAATCGAAATGCCAGATACTGTATCTCTGGCACATACATGTATGCCTGGCTGGGAACACATTGAGCAGCAAACTTGAAGGACTCGACTGGATGCGTTGATGAGTGCTGCTCTTTCCGTTATTAGGCTGGGAACTAACACGATCAAGGTGAGAAAATCGCACTTCCAACCCCATGCAAACTACTTCAGTGTTCTGTGACAAACCGGAAACTAGATTTTAGACCAACTCAGTGAGCAGCACAATGAAAATAATCATGCGGGCTCGAGCGCTCTGGCTTGTTTCTACGACAAAAAACCTGTTGAGTGTTGTTTTCAAGCGGTTCAGCAAGCATGTACATGCAGATCTGAACATCGCATTTGGCATCGCATTATGACTGAGTTATGACTGCGTCTACAATACCAATGCCAATGGGCAGCTAGCTACAGTACAAACAAGAAAGAAAGAAAGAACTGTGACTCAACATATATGTACAGTGCAAGCTCACTAACTGTTACTTGTGACTAAAATAGCAGTGGACGTCCCTCGATGTCCCATATTAGGCAAAACAGAACATTTTTGGGTCTCCGTGAGCCAAAAACTAGACATCTTCGACCTACCTCCGATCTCACTTCTCGCCGAAGTAAGTTTCCACGCAGAGGAACGGCGCGGCGGGGAGTTCTCTTGGAGTCTTTCCTCTATTTTTATCCGCCGCGAATAACAGATCGGCACGCGAATGCGGACAAGATCAAGAAAGCCGTCCTCAACAAAACGAAAATAAAAATATTCTTTTCGAGGCTTGAAGACGTACATGTACCAGATGTACGTCGCGCTGTTCATGTCGTAGATCTTCTTGCCGTCTACCATGGTCTACCAGGTCTACCTGGTCTACCTGGTCTACCGCAAAGTCGTTTTGGTGTTTGAGAAACTCTGGAAGGCCTCGTAAACCTAGGAGTTTACTCCAAATCCTGACGAACACGGATGGTTTAAAAAATTTGAGCGGGCAGAATCGATCCCTCGCAACAGCGGCTCTGTCTCTTATCTGCAATGCATGAGGCATAAAAAAGGCAGTCGAGTCCAGCATGCAGCGTCGTTATCCTCATCCAGGGAGTCATAAAATAATTACGTGTAATACTTTCTTGCTGGCCTGGACGGGAAAACTGCATGCATTGATCAACACGAGGCGCAGACTCGGTTTGGATGTACAATTAGCACAATTGTGAATATTCCCGCAATATATTATTGTGTAGCTTATGTAGCTGAGAATTGCAGTTCTCTCGGTTTTCCACTTGCCAAGCACTATGGATGACGACGATGGAATTGTGCTGAACTTGTCCGCAGCGACAAGCCAGTCGAAGGTTAGACAGACTAAACAAAAGATGTTTTCATCCCTTTCATTTTTTTCTCTTTTCTCAAAAGTTAGCATTTTAATATTGTGTCCGGCGGCAATGTGAAATTTGAGCAAATTGTCGCAAGTTTTCCGCTGTATCCGAGCATCATCATACGTATGTTTACTTTGCCACTCGCGCGTGGCAATTATAACATCGACGACATCCATTTCCCCCTGTATAAATGTCAAAATAATGCATATACATGTAGGTGTGCATGTACGCGTACCAGTATCCGGAGAGGCTGACCTCAGAGAACTTTTAGTGCCGATCAGCGGTGATCCTGCTATTTATTTGTGCTTTCTATCGTTGGGAAAGTGGCGGAATACAGCACATATTCATACTCTTACTCAATCAAATTTTGTGTGCAAAATTCTCCATACAAAAAAGCACTTGTATTCTTGATTGATAAATATGGTGGTAAAGACACACCCGGCAATATGGCGGTAAACACACGCCTGCCCACACACGCTCTCTAGGCTGCAAAGTTCTAGCACAGAGCTCTCCTTCTCACCACCACCACCATCAGTTCGCGCCTGGCGCCTGGTCGATGCATGGTTGGCGGTATCCGGCATAGCAGGCTGGTACATCAAGTAGCACATGGCACATAGATGATGACACAGCAACGACATAGCTCGATTGCGACGTACGTTTCGTCCCCGCTGGACTCATCAGGCAATCTTCTTCTTGGGTGTCTTCATACGGAGCTTGACTCGGGAGAATGAAGTTGAAGACACCATTGCAGCTGTACTTATGGTTGATAAATATGGTGGTAAAGACACATCCGGCAATATGGCGGTAAACACACGCCTGCCCACACACGCTCTCTAGGCTGCAAAGTTCTAGCACTTGTATTCTCATTTTTTTTAAATACTGGTTTGAGTGGAGCGTGGTGCTGTCTCTTTTTTACTCGTGTTGTTGGACATGGCGCTACACTTTCCACTTGAAGTGGAATACCAGTACTGTCGGGTGTCGAAGAACGACCAGGCTAGAATTTCACCAAGCACAGCATACCAATGTATACACGGTGACTCAACTGCGCACAGACTAGTACAGGTGCAGTTGTGCTCACTGAAATCCCACCCAAAGTGCAAAGCTGGCGCCCTGCCCTGGACCAGTTCCGATTACATCATTGTGGATGTACATGTGTACGTCCAGCCGCATTCATTCCGCTGCCAGGGCGTCAAGGGCCGTGCAAGTTGAGGGTGCCAGTTTTGCACGTTGGGTCGGATTTCAGTGAGCGCAACTGTACATGAAAATATGAATGGACTGTAGGCTAGGAGGCTGACCCCTCGGTTCTTCGGCATCCGGCACTACTGTAGTACTGTACATACGTGTGCATGATTAGTGGCCGCTGGACCATTTTGGATTTGAGTAGCTCTTGTGTAATCAACGACGGTGCTGGCATCCCGGCGCAGCCTATAGAGGCTCTGCGAATGACGTCACCTCGCATCCCTTGGATACGCAATTGCGTCGTCGCCTTGGACGCGTTGTGTGGAGTGGCAAAGCTACGGCGCGGCGGCGCAGTGGTTCACGAGTGCTGCTTTGCCGCACAGCACTAGCACTGTGCCGCTGTATTGCCACTCCAAACAAAGCATCTAGAGTGATGGCGTATTCATGTAACCTCTGTAATAGATCTACAGTATAACTCCCCTTATCCGGACGGCCTAATCCGGGCACGTCAGTCTACCGGTCACCTTGCTGACCTCACACCCAAGTCACAATATCGGCTTTTTAGTGGGAAAAAGGCCTCAAAACTGTCGTTTGGCATGAAACATGGCTACTTGCATGCAATAAGTATATATATATATATATATGTGTGTGTGTGTGTGTGTGTGTGTGTGTGTGTGTGTGTGTGTGTGTGTGTGTGTGTGTGTGTGTGTGTGTGTGCATGTGACATGCATGTGACATGCATGTGACATGCATGTGTGCGTATGTGTGTGGACGGCGGCAATTGCATGTCTTCCTGTGTGTGTGTGTGTCTGCGTCTGTGTTTGCATCCATGCACACGCACCCACACACACTTGACGACCTACAGGCCGCCGTGCGCTCGGCTCCAGTCCGCCTGAACAAGAAAGACGCCAGGGCTGCGAAGGCAGCGCGCAGAGAGCAGCAGGCTGCCTACCCTGGCGACGATGGTTTCAACGACTACGACTACGACTATGACTATGATTCTGGGCATGGCGGCAGCAGCAGCAGTCACGCTACTGGTAACTCCACGGGCGGCAGGAACGGTGGTGCCAAATTTCTGCCGAAGACCGACGGCACAGCCTCGCCAGGCTCCAACACTGGGTATGGTGACGTTGTACGTGGCAAGGACCAGGCGCGGGTGAGAGTAATGTTATGTTATCTGTATTGTACTTCACCATAGGTACAGGCATTGCTGCTTGTGCCTATTCTGCAGTTGCACACGTGTGTTCACCTCATTGGCCTCGCTCGTTCTGCATTTCTTTTGCCCATTTGGCTTATGCGAAGACTAGCCAAGCTTGCTTGGTGATGTCAACGTGAACAAGCATAATAATAATAATAATTGCTGCTTGAGTGAGTCCTCTAAACTTGTGTGCCGGCTCGATGTACCCGGCGTGCTGAAAGTGCGCTCGATGCCGATCAGCGCTGCTGCCGCATGATTGCATAAGCATGACACTCTTGAGTAGCAGCAACCTACTAGTAGCCTTGCCCTATTCTGTACCCGTCTACCTGAGGTCCTCACGGGTAGCACAGGTGCCCGACTACCCATGCACACCACTACTAGTGCGGTAAAATTCCGTTAATAAGCCCTGGGCGTATACTTTGTAGAGCGTCAAAAACCGGGCGTATATTTGGGCATGGGCTTATTTTAGGGCATGGGCGTTATTTCGGACGCAATCTGCAGAAGATCAATCTATCAGCAACCCACTACTACTGGCACTAGTTTCAGTGAACCACCATTAACACTGAGCGCGGTACAGGTACATCAAACCACATTTTTTGGCAGTTTGCTACATGCCAACGGAACATCGCTGTCCTCGCGCGCCGTGACAGTGTTGAGTTCTGCACTGTGCTGCGTGCAGTTGGATGGCACGCACTCGACAGATCTACAACTGTTCTCCAGTTTGTACGCAAACGCACGCTCGCCCGCTGGTCATTTTGAGTCCACTTTACGCCCTGGGCTTATTTCGGGCATGGGCACTAAAACGGACTTGAAATGTACACCGCCTAAACTGGGCTTATTATCGGACATGGGCGTTATTTAGGGTGGGCTTATTTACGGAATTTTATGGTACTTCTCACCCAGGGTCTTTTGGCTGGAAATAGCATCCCTTGTGGATTGTTTTCAAGCAATGCAGTGCTGATATGAATGTGGGTGCTTTTTCTGTTATTTGTCATTGATCTTGTTCTTGTTGTTCTTGTCTGGTCGTAGGCCAAAACCAGTGGGTTTGGCACGAAAGGCAAGACGGGTGACGGTGGTGGGAGTCACGCTGGACACTCTACTAACAAGGAGAAGACTAAACCGAGCGAGGTACGTTGACAATGCGCAACTTTTGAAAGCCTGTTTGTTTGTAGAGGGGGGGGGGGGGATATCCTGGATATTCGTGTGTAGCCATAAAACTCCCGGGTAACACTGAAGTTTAAGTCTTGTTCTATTGCAAACTTGTAAGAATAGGTTGAATAGCTCACGCACGTCCGCTGCCGTTATCTAGCTCTCTGTGCAATATGTGAATGCCAGTGGTCTTAAATGATATTTATAGACTCGGATCGAGAGCCAAGGATAAATTTATAGCATATCAACTTGTAGTTTTTTTTTTGTAGTTGTAGTTTCTTGGTCCTTTTTTCTTTACTATAAGTATCTTTCTAGAAAAGAAAAAGGACCAATAATAGCTTTGTTAGGATGACCTAGATGCTTGTCGCCTATCAAGGGGTTCGCCGCTTTGAAGGGTGTACATGTACATGTACAATCATGTACCTATTATATAACCCAATACTAGTTCAATACTAGTACAGGTCGTCCCCCGTTAATACGAGTCCGGTTAGTACATAAACCCCGTTAGTACATAAGAAATCTCAAGTCCCGGACGAAACGTGGTCACTTCCATACAAATTTTGGCGGTTAGTACATAATTCGTTAGTACATAAACCCCGTTAGTACATAACATTTCTCCGTACCCGCATGCTACCTACCTCAATAATACGTAATTTGTTGGTCTTTCGGCCTTCCAGTGGAGGCACATTGTGTTCTAGTTTCTACTTGTGGACGCAATTAGCTCAGAAATCAGAGCGCACATCACAAGCCGAGAAAGCTCTGTTTTTTCCGAGTGACTGTACAGGCGCGGCTGGGCATGCTATCATGTAAACTGTAGAATCTTCGCTGACTGTGACCGTTATAACATAATTGTTATGTTATATTGAGGGAATCAAGAATATCTCGCTCCCTGGTCATGGTAGCAAGAAACCCTCAGAAAAGTTGAAAAAAGTGAAAAATTCTGGTACACAAGCAAGTTATGTACACTTTCGTTTAGTACATAAACCCCGTTAATACATAACATTTGTCAAGTCCCAGAGATTATGTATTAACGAGGGACGACCTGTATTAGATACACCTTGTTATAGTTCCGGGTTCCACACCCATATGGTTCAGATGGTCCCAACGGCCCGGGGCTCTGCCAACCGTGGATGGTTGTAGTAAGGTCACTGTTTCCGAACACGGTGTCCTCCACCTTGTTCCATGCTGTCAAACTAACAATCATGTACCTGTATGAGCTAAAGTAAAAGTAGTGAAAAGTAGCGCAGCATGAACGCATTGGGGAGCAAACAGGGGGGTTATGTACATGGTGTGGGCATACCAGAGAGTGAAGCACTGTTTGCAAGTGAGTTTGCAAAGCTCATTCTTAAAAGCAACAATGAATGGTTCTGCAGTTAGTCTTGGCAGGAGGCAGTTCCGTAAGAGGGAGGTTTGGAAGAGAAACCACGATTTTGATGTGGTCTTTGCTTTACGGGGGAATAATTTTGTTTAGGCGTCTCCCACTCTGCGTAATATTGAAATTGAACGAAGCTGGGCAACTTCGATACCTGACAATATAGTTGTGCATGGTAACAACTAACAAGCTTATAAACTGCCTGCCATAAAGAAGGGGTGCAATGTTAGCTTTTTCATTTTAAAAGATCCTGCTTGGGTGTGTTCAAGTCGATTCGGATTTTGCGTTTCCTAAGGCAGGATCTTGCAAACCCTGGCCTGGACTCTATCCCGGCTCAGTCACATCGCTTGACCGAAGACGAAAGGACCACACTACGACACTACACTCAATCACAGGTCTAAACATAGCCTATAGAGGAGCATCATGGCCTGTGGTGTAAAGGCCGATTCATACTTCATTTCGCGGACGGGAAACGCGTCGCGTCGCGAAAAAGTTGATCTGAGCACAACTATTTCCCGTACGCGAAATGAAGTATGAATCAGCCTTTTAAGACGAAGTGCCATGTGACAAAGTAGGCCTACTCTTTGCTTGAATTTGCGGCTGATGTCAAGGTAGTGTTGACGGAAGTTTAGGTCTGCACTGAAGCAAACTCCAAGATGTTTCATGATGTCAATATTGGGAAGGGGTAGACCCTCCATAGTGTAGGTGGCAGGCACATGTTGGTGCTGATGACGGTGCTGCGGCTGGCTTATAACGGAAGCTTTAAAAAAAAACAGAGGTTTTCGACGACGAAAACTCTCCGCCTCTTTCCCTAGCCCAGTTTTGGCATGCATGAATGTCTGCTTGGATTCCCGGACTGGATAGAGAGCCTTTGTAGGGTAAAATAAAAGTGACCTCATCTGCAAACAAGAAGGTGTGCGAGTGAAGAATGGCTTCTGGTAGGTCAACGCCTTGCTGCCGTGCCTCAAAGCTCAATGAGAATGCGTTTGTCAGCATGGCACTCGCATAGCCGGGTGCAACTGGTACAAATGTACAAGCAATTCCTGAATCTTTCGTACAACTTTGGTGCGAGGAAGGTCCAAGTCGTACATCTTATCAACATGTAAGGATCACAGGATCACACGATCCGGTCACTCAGAGCATGAAGGTCAGAGGTTCAACATCAAGGTTCGACGGATAGAGAGAGAGAGTGAAATGTGAAAGTCAGAGCTTATCAAGGGCCTGGGTAGCTATGGAAATGAATGTACTAGAGCGCGAATTCAGCTACCCGGGGAAACACAATGGCTACAATTCGGAACGAAAAACGATTAGGACAACATTAGACAGACAATCAAGACAAGGACATCACAAGACAAACCAATGGGCGGTGTGGACATAGACAGGACCACGATGAGGGAACACATGACGAGGACGCCGATTAGGTGGCGGGCCAGTCCAGTTGCGGTAAGGCGCGTGGCGTGGCATGGTTGGCAAGGCAAGTCGGTGGGGTGGCAGAACGTCGGCATCGAAGTAGCGGTGTCGAGTAGGACGTATCGGTCATGGTCGTGGCTGCGGGCGTGGTCGTAGTTGTCGGGGGTTGTGTGTATTGTGTCGTCGCGGTGATTGATACGTTCGGATGGTTAGGCGTTGGCGGATTGCCGTAACAAGTTCCTCCGCCGAGGGAGGGTGTGGCGCCAAGTCGAGGTGTCGACGCGCGGCATCCAGGCGCGACGGCCTGACGATTCCGGGTGCTGGGGGTGCTGGCGGAAGCACTGGCGTCCGAGGCGACGGCGGCGATGGCGCTTGTCTGGGCGTGATCGTAGTTGTCGGGGGTTGTGTGTATTGTGTCGTCGCGGTGATTGATACGTTCGGATGGTTAGGCGTTGGCGGATTGCCGTGACAAGTTCCTCCGCTGAGGGAGGGTGTGGCGCCAAGTCGAGGTGTCGACGCGCGGCATCCAGGCGCGACGGCCTGACAATTCCGGGTACCGGGGGTGCTGGCGGAAGCACTGGCGTCCGAGGCGACGGCGGCGATGGCGCTTGTCTTACCCAGTCGGGAAATCTCGGCGGCGACCCCCATGGGGAAGGATTCCACGGCTCGAGCATCGCACAGTTCGGGTGAGGCGGCGGTGATTGGGGCGGAGGAGGAGACGAGGGCAGCGAGCAGGGCGGCAACGGAATCCGCATGGCAGCGGCCATTTGTTCCTCGAGAGAGATAAGGACATGCTCGCTAGATGGAAGGGGAGGTACCTAACAAATATGTAGGCAAGCTGACGGCCAAAGCACAACATTGCAAACATGACATTTGCCCAAGGATTGCAGTTTGCAGACCACGCCATGGAAGCGGTGAATGCAGAATGTAATATCATACAAAGACAAGCAAAGAATTGGCCACCATACACCAGAAACTTGCAGAAAGTCACATATCCAACAGATAGAGAAGTGAACAGCAATCAGGTACAGCCCGCACAAGACAAAGCTGACCTGATACTCGTCCGAAGATCGCAAGTGGCAGATCCTTTTCAATGCATAGCATGCAGGTGTATGTTGCACGCATGGAGCGGCTTCACACTTCAAATTCAGACGTCAATGCAGTCGTCACGGGATGATATACCTGCAAGATACATGTGTTGCAGAAAGAAAGCATAAGGTCGTGAGGTAGGCTATGGGACACCACAAATAGGTCGCCTACATTTTGCGATCAAGCTCGGTGGTGTTCATCTTCTTGCAGAGTTCTGTTCCAGGGCCGTATGGGGCCTTCCGCTGGGGACAGCTTTCTGTTGTCAACATGTCAGCGTTGTCGCCGTTCTTCCCTCAGTGCGTGTTGTTATTGTGGTGTGTGTCTGTGTGTGCGTGTGTGTGTCTGTGTACTGTCCAGGTGATCTCGTCTCTCTTCAAGGGAAACCCAGCCATACCCGCCGCACCAGACAAGCAATCCTCACAGCTGTAAGTTCCACTGTGGGACAGGGCTGTCTCTCTCTCTCTCTCTCTCTCTCTCTCTCTCTCTCTCTCTCTCTCTCTCTCTCTCTCTCTCTCTCTCTCTCTCTCTCTCTCTCTCTCTATCTATCTATACATCTATCTATCTACAAATCCGTTGATCCCCGAGCTGCAAAGAGTGCTCAATGTCAGAGACAGAGCTTAGTACATAGCAGACTCAGCAGAGGACGTTCAGGTTGGTTGTAACTCTGAGTTTCATGCCGTTAGGCAATCATCAGACAACTCAGCTGCCTGATGATTGCCTAACGGCATGAAACTCAGAGTTACAACCAACCTGAACGTCCTCCGCTGAGTCTGCTATGTATGTATCTATCTATGTATGTATGTATCTGTCTACAAGTCTCTATCTATCTATCTATCTATCTCGCTCTTAGAACTTACTGTAATGTAGTTGTGCTCCGTCAGGGGATGCATTCGACGACCGCTCTTGATTGGTGTGTCCGCAGCGTGTAATTCATGTTGCTGGGACAGTTGGCCATTCCTTCATTTCATGCTGCACATGTGGTGACCTGATGTTCATGGGGCTGAGCATCATCATGCTTATTTGGGTTTGTCATCTTTCTTCTTCTTACCCCATGTCCTACTTGTGTGTCCAGGGTGAAGAAGCAGGCAGCCAAGAAGCGGGCTGTCGTCGGAGAAGGCGTGGAAGTCTTCAATCAAGCAAAGACCTTCGAGGAGCTGGGTATAATCCATCGCATGGTAAGATTTGAAAAGGCGGCGAGGTGACAACAGTTTAAGGATTGCGATAAACAGAACCAGCTGAAGTGTCATTCAAGCGTCACCACTTTCTCTAGAATTTGTTCGTGACATCTCAAGAAAACCTTCGTGAAATGACGCTTCGGCTGGTTCTGTTTATTGCATGGTAAGATGTAGCTCATTCTCTGCTGTGTCCACCACCGTAAAATTTCGGGGTTTTCCGCTGTCGGCAGACCCCGTTACGTGTGGAAAGGGGGGTCCATGGGTGTGCACTGTTGGAAGCTTTATAATGTACTTTTTATTAAGCCCATTGCGCAATGACGTAATCTGTACCGCGAACACCCCACACAGCCACCTGGGCATGGTCGTCCGGGGTGTTGAACAGTGTATTGCTGATCCCAGTGAACTCACATGCATTACTCATACCTTCCATATTTGGCAATGCGGAATGGGCTTCTCGTGGTTACATCGTATTGTGCACTACCGATGGGCGGTAAGCAGTGCCATCAGTACCAGTAAAGCATCCTGGGATGATGATGTCAAAGCCCTACCGTTGAATGGTTTTTCACCCTGAAGATGGGCCATGCCCGAAAATTTGGTGCATTCCATTTATGTCTAATATTATTATTTTTTGGAAGTGAAGTGAACTTATGCAGCGAAGAGACCGTAGTTGGAGAGTTTGAAGTGAGGTACCCTGTAAAGCCTTACCGGTATAACAAAGTCCTAACTCTAACGAGTTAACGAGGAGAAACCCGTCGTTAACTTAAAATAGAAAACGTTATACAGACATTGATACTTCTACTGTTGCTGGTGAGCGTTGAGAATGAGTGGGGATCGTTGCCTTTTGTACTCGTAAAGCAGTCAATTTTTTGGAAATATGGTATATTTGCGTCTCGTTAGAACAATGGCTTTTACGGTATCTGACATGTTCTGTTGTCTCTCTTCTCTTGTTCTTGGTCCCTTAGATCGCCAATCTGGACTCCACGCTGCACATGTCCAAGCCAACGGGGTGAGTACTGTTAACTGGCCACTGTTTGCGACGTATCAATGTTTGTCCTAATTTTGCAAGAAGAGCGTTACGCAGATATTAACCATCGTGAAATCAAACTGCAGCAGTGGGTGTGTATGTGTGTCCACTGTGCTCCGCGAACATTTGCCATCGTAGACTCGCTGGTTCTGAGAGATCGCAAAACTTTAGTGACGCAAACATTAGCGGTCTACAGTAGACATTGTTGTCATAGCAGCTCCACTGCCTTGTGTTGCAAAGGAAGGACCCACGAGCGGGATTCGAACCCAGCACCCCTGTCTTTCCGGGACAGTGCCCTACCGATTAGCCTACCAGGGATCACACGCACGCCCGTGCAGAGGCCTAGCCAAAGCCGGCTCAGCCGGCAGAATGCCGGCTGGGAGGGCGACCTGCCGGCTGAGACAGCTCCAAGGGTTATTTTGGCCGGCTGGCAAACAATTGGGATTTAGAGAAATTTTCAGTTTCTACAAGTACAAGTATTTGTAGCACGCTGTGTTCGAGGATCATTTTTCTTTCAATCATGTCACCAAGCCCACTATCCTCCGCCAAGGTAAGAGTCGACCACTTGCAGCTGTCGAAAATAGGTCCAGTTTCTGCCACTACAATGTCCGAATAATCGTGGAAACAGAACAGGACGACGGCGAAAACTACTTCCACTGAAGTGCACTGTACTTGCGTAGATCCGTACAGTACAGTACAGTAGGGCGTACTGGCATGCACTCCACTCTTGAGGTCACACAGTCACCCACTTGAGGTCAAGCATGTAGACTGAGTCTGTACTGTAGTGTAGTGCACTGCACTAGCACTTGAGTCAGTAGATCACATGCAGCTGGCTACTCAGGCTCAGTGCTAGCTCTTCACTCACAATCACCTCAAATGCACTTGAGTATGCACTTGAGTACGTTACATGTAAAGTCGTTGTGTGCAGAGTGCCAGTAAAATGTAACAGGTGCTACAGGTGTAGGTCGGGTCATGTCTAGCTACAGACTCTGGACTGTCATATCGTGGGCCATTCGTGCCTAGGCTGGGTCTTGTGCATGCTGCATTTCGGAATACGTTTTCTTCACCGTAATGTGTTGCATTTATCACTTTAATCTCAGTCACTGATGACCAGTTTTGCACCAATGTTTACTGCCTTTCTTTGTTGTGCAAGTCAGATGACCAATGTACACTGCATGCAGGCATGACGTTGGTGAACACATGATCCATGCTGATGTAGCTGTTTGCTTCCTTTTTCATATTTTGTTAATTATTTACCTATAATCACATTGTCACAACTGCCTGATGAATGTCCATAATTGGACGAAGCGAAAGGAGATGCAAGCTGCAAGGAAAGATTTGTAGTGGTGTGTGTGTGTGTGTGTGTGTCTGTGTGAATATGTAACTGATTGCGGGGGTCTGGGGGCGCAGCCCCCAGAACGATGCATTTTCACTAGAACGTTGGCCGGCTGGCATAAAATCCTGGCTAGACCTCTGCCGTGGGTCCTGTTTGCTACACTGGGAAGCTACGCGTCAGGGAGTTGAAATTGTTGTCAAGACTATTTTAGTATGTGTGTCAGCATGTATGTGTTTTATGTGTGTGTTTGTGTGTTTTGTTTTTGTTGATAGCGTGCAAAGCGTTAGTATACCATTGCTACTGGAAGGTCATGATTGTCTCGTTCAGTCACAGACAGGATCAGGTCAGTAGCAAATCTATGCTTTACTTCTGCTCTTTGTCTCTCTCTCTCTATCTATCCATCTATGTGACGTGCTATCTCTGTATATGACGTGCTATCTCTCTGCATGTGACGTGCTCTCTTTGTTTCCGTGCAGGTAAAACTTTGGCCTACTCACTACCGCTTGTCCAGCGTCTCAGCGAGATAGAACCGAAAATTGACGTGAGTGTTTGGCGTGCACCAAGTCTACTCAGTGTCTCTGTCTGTGTGTTTGCCCACGGTCTCAATTTAGGAAATAAGATGGGCCATGTAATGTACTCGCGTATTTGTGTTGGCGGGGTGTGTCCCAACTTCATTGTCCTAGTTTTCTAAGAGATCTGATGGGTGATCTTGACATGTGTGTGTGTGTGTGTGTCTGTCTGTCTGTCTGTCTGTCTGTCTGTGTGCACACCCTTTGACTGGTTTTCCAATGCTCGTGTGTTGTGTTTTTGTTGGGCGTTGCCGTGACTTTAGCGTAATGGAGGACCGTACGCGTTC